ATTTATTGAAAGGTGAGGATCCTCCATTTTGTATCCCTTGTGATGAAAGAATCAATGTCAAGCATATCCTGCTTGACTGTGTTGATTTTTCCATCACAAGGGATAAATATTTCAAATCATCATCAATCAAGGATATTTTTAATAGAATCAGTTCTCATTTAATTATAGTTTTTTAAGAAGAAATTTAACTTCTTGATAAATTTTGAATTGTGTAAATAGCTATATTTTATATTGGTAATGTATAATATGTAATTTAGATTGTTAGTGGCTATATCCTCAAAGGGGGTTGAATTAGCGTAATATTATTGTCCCCCTGAGAGGCTATGTTAGACCACATCATTCAAAGTACATTTATTCTTACATCGGTTTTAAACGTAGTATATTTGTTTATTTTAACTGTTGGCTTAATTGCATCCCATCAGCTGAAGGTTTGATGAAAATCCTGCTGGGGAGCCGTGCAGGTAGAAAAAGTAATGTAAGTCCCAACGGTCCCTATTGAGGTGGCCTGACTTTGGTTGCTGGTGATGTATAGCCCATTTTTATATTGTATTGTTGATTGAAAATGTATTCTTTTAACTGTTCTCAACTAGTTTTAAAATCGAAACTGTGATACTCTAGTTATCCTACTGTCCATCGTTGACAGCTTTTAAATTAAATCATAATATAATTATTATAACTGTTTCGTCATGATATGGCTTAAATATTGCCAGTGTGACGTTAAATTTCACTCACTCACTCACTTTGTTGAAGGCTCTGTCAAGGGGGTTAAAGTATAGTAAAATTATCGTTCCCCTGTGTGACAAGTAATCCTATCATAATTGAAGTGTGACTAGGCTTGTCGTTAAAGGCGACTAACGGGATCGGGTGGTCAGGCTTGCTGACTTGGTTGATGCATGTCATCGATCCCAATTGCGGCGTTAAACAACAATACAATACAATACCTAATCGATGTAACTTTCATCAACCAGTGTTTTTAAGCCAACTCATTGCTGAGTATTTTTTAATATTGGCTAGTATTGTTCACTACCACCAGTGGCTGAAGTGATGACGTAAATCCTGCTGGGGTATCATGCAGGTAGCAGAGGCACTTTAAGTCCCCATGATCCTCAGTGAGGTGGCCTAGCTTTGGTTACTGGTGGCCAAAAGCCTGTGTTTTTAAACTGTATATATAATATTGTTATGCTCAAATATGTCTCATAAATTGTTTGTAAATATATTATTCTCAAATATGTTTCACAACTTGTTTTTAAATATTTTTTTTTGCATTAATAACTAGATTGTAAATATATTAACTTGGTCTCGTCGCTATATGGCTGAAATAATGGCGATGCGACATTAAATTTTAACTCACTCACTCACTCACCCTAGGCACCAAGAAGTTTAGAGATAGACAGTTTATTGTATATTTTGCCAAAAGTAGCCATCAGTGGTTCTAATGTAGAGTTTTACAGACGTATCTGATCCAATACAAGTTTTTGTCTGATGAACTGAATAAAATATCTGATACCTGTATTGCCAAGTCCTCTGCAAATGCTCACATCCGTAAACCATGGTTTATTAATGATGTTAACAAGCTAGAAAGGCAAGGCAACAAGCTGAACACTGTTTCTGTATAATATAAAATCTTAAATGCCAAAGCGAGACGAACATTTAAACAAAATAAGCGCCAATCTTAGCAGAACTATGTTAGAAAAATAAATTCACGAACTCCAATGTCCAAAGTATGGACCATGATCCAAAAGATCAAAGGTAAGGGTTTTAAATCCAGCATCAACGACCTTAAACATGGGGATGAATTGCTTACTGATAGTTTAGATATAGCTAATAAACTGGGAGAAACTTTGGGAACACAATCTTCCTCGACTAACTATGTACCTAAATTTAAAAAAATACCATAGCAGCAGGAAAAGAAAAACATTTGTTTTAAATCAGAAAATGGGGAAGACTACAATGAAATATTTTCCATTCATAAGCTCAAAACTGACGGGACGGGATCATACCGATCCATCAAATTATAGACCCATTTCATTGACTAGCTGCGTTTGCAAAACCATGGAACTCATGGTCAATAATAGCATGACATGGTACTTAGAATCCGATAATTTAATAACAAATATTCAATGTGGTTTTCATAAAAATCGCACAACCATTGACCATTTGACCGATAAGAGTCATTCGTTGAGAATACAATTATAAACAAACAACATGCAGTGTCTATCTTATTCCATCTAGAAAAAGCTTATGCCACTGCATGGAAGCACAGTATTTTAAAAGATTTACACGATTGCGAGGCCGTTTGCCTTAACTGGTATCGCATGGGTTCTACTCTGTCTGATCATTATATTTAGTGTCCCACAAAGCAATATTTTGTCTGTCACTTTGTTTTGTATTAAAATAAATAGTTTTAAATAATTCACTTGATGGATCACCTTTTGTGGATAATCTGAACTTATCTTGTCGTGGTAAAATGTGCATACTATCAAAAGACATGCAATGATGTCTTTAGAAAACGGTTTTAAATTTTCGAAATCAAAAACAAATTGTATTCACTTTTGTATGAAATACAAGCCTCATAGAGACCCAGGATTAGTTTTGGATGTTTATCCTATTAAGTCCCGTGAAGATTCTGGGGTAGAATAGGTCTTCCATGCTTGCCGTAAAAGGTGAATATGCTTGTCGTAAAAGGCGACTAACACGATCGGGTGGTCAGGCTCGCTGACTTGATTTGATGCATGTCATCGATCCCAATTGCGTGGATCGATGCTCATGATATAAATCACTGATTATTTACAGACAGCCGTCATATAGCCGGAATATTGCTGACTGCGGCGTTAAACAACAAACCAAACCAAACCAAAACCAATCCTATTAAGGTTGTTAGTGAAGCAAAGTTCTCGGGTATAAGTTTTGACAGTCATTTGACATTTTTACCTCACATCAAACTTAGTGGGGTGGGGATAAGAAAACTCTATTCCGCCTGTACCGATCACTGATTCTGTCTAATAGAGATTATGGCTCCATCGTGTATGGTGGAGCCTGCAAAAGTAATTTAAAAATACTGGATATCATTCATTATCAAGGCCTGATGTTTTGCCTTGGTGCCTTCAGAACTTCTCCCATTAATAGTCTGTATGTTGAGGCTGACGAGCCATCCCAGAAACACCGTCGCTCAAAATTAGCATTGCGATATGTTGCAAAACTTTATTCCAAACCATCTAATCCTGCATATGAGTGGGTTTTTTACCCTTCGTATGAGGATTTGTATGACCCCAAAACAGCACTCATTCCATCACTTGGAATAAGAATAAAACCTGCCATTTCTGATGCTAACATTGACCATACAGTTATATCTCACTCTCAGATTTTGTCTTCTCCTCCTTGGCAGTTTATAAAGCCACAGGTCACTCTGACGTTAACCACCCTAAATAAATCAGGTACAAATCAGTTACTTCATCAGCAAGAATATAATGAATTAAGAGGCACCTATAACCCTTACAAATCTATTATGAAGACGGTTGTGCATTTGCTAGTGCCACTGTCACCATATCATCAAGAATACCAGACGCCAGTTCAATTTTACAGCAGAATCAAAGGCATTTTTTTAGCAGCTCTCCAATATATACATACACATTCTAAACATAAACAGTTCATCATATTTTCTGATTCCCTTTCCTGTCTTCGGGCCATTAAAAATATTTTCTGTGACCATTCACTTATTTTTGAAATCAACAAATTTATCTGCTACTGGCCAATATGACATCATCTTTTGTTGGTTACCCGGCAATGTTGGTTCTATTGGTAACACAAAGGCCGATGCTTCTGCAAAGGCAGCGCCCAAGAAATCTGTGACGCCTCTTCTAATCCCATATAGTGATTATAAGCCTGCTATTCGATATTACATCAGAGATCTAATGCAAAAGACGTGGGACACCCAAGTAGGTATCAATAAGTTACATGAAATTAAACCAACTATAGGTTACACCTACTTGGGCTGTCAGTCCAGATTTGAAGACGATGTCGTGTTGGCCATTCCCAATACACTCACGAGTATTCATTGAAAGGTGAGGATCTTCCGTTTTGTATCCCCTGTGATGAGAGAATCACGGTCATCCATGTCCTGCTTGACTGTATTGAATTTTCCATCGCAAGAAATCAATATTTCAAAGTTTTATCACTCAAGGATCTTTTTAACATAAGCTCTCATTTAATTCTTGGATTTTTATAAGAAATTGAATTAATTGAAAAAATTTAATGTAGAAAGTTATACATGATCATAATTGGTAGTATTTGATTATGAACTGAGATTGTTAGTGACTGTACCCTTGATTGGCATGGGTTGAAGAAGCGTAAAATCATTGTCCCCCTGAAAAGCCATTCAAAGTATTATATATATATATATATATATATATATATATATATATATATATATATATATATATATACCAGTATTTTAATCGTAGAAAGTGTGTTTGTTTTAATCTTTGTCTAACCTTCTCCATAATCACCAGTGACTAAAGGGATGGCGTCAATCCTGCTGGGGTCCATGCAGGTAGCAAAGGTACTGTAAGTCCCCATGGTCCCCAGTATGGAGGCCTACATTTGGTTGCTGGTGATACATAGCCCACTTTTATATTTTTATTTTTTATATATTTTGTATTGTTATATATATTTAAGTTTTATTGTAATTTACTAGTTTTACACCTATATCTGTGGTAATCTTGTTATTTTACTGTCCTTTGTGGACAGGTTTATATTCTAAATGTATGTCTTGTATGATTTTATATAGTCAATATATGGCTGAAATATTGCCGACGTGACTATAAATATTAACTCACTCTAATGTAGAGATGCTTTTCTTTCAGGGGGAATATATGCTTCTGGAGTCAATGTTTAAGAGTGTATAAGAAAGATGTATTACAATATAAACAAAAACAATATCTTCAAAACATAAGTCTGTATATAAGAGCTGTATTATCCTAACATCCATTGCACTGTTTCAGATCCCTTTATTATACCAACAACGACCATGCCACGTAAGCCCTTCTGAATTCGTCCTTCAAGTAAATAGCTTAAATAAAAAAATAACTTGACTGGATTCCTCTTCTGGGACCGACCATCGGTGAGGGGGGTGACTGGGATTTTGTAGTGAGACCAGATATATTTTTCAGCTACAGGTGCAAAGCCAGCTATTATTTTTTATTAAACTACAAGCCAAAGTATATTTTTTGTCTCTAAAAAACACATTTCAACAATATGATAAGTATGGCAGACAATTTAATTTTTTCAAACTTTGTAAAGAATAGGTTTTTCCCTCAAGAATTGTCGGGACATTTTATGTTTTTCAATAAAATCCCAATGACCTCGCAAACCCTTATCCCCGCAAACAAGATCAAGTGGTCGGATCCTCAGATCAACATATTTGTAACATAAAATTGCTGTTCAATCAATCCAGTAAAATGAAGTCAACAAGTGGTTTATCATTATCAGTAAATGATTTCCCAATATGCTTATCATTGGTTTTCACAGATACTTGTTTTAATTACCTCCCGAATACTTTGATGAAAGTTTTTTTCAGCCTGCACTATTGCCGGGATCGCATGTGTTGCCAGTAGTAACTGTAACCCCATAGGAATTATTGCTGCTCGCCAGTGTCCAAGTGGTCAGGTGTGCTGTGTCGGTAAGTAGTCTGACCTCTTTTGACCTTGAAACAGTGGCATTCTTTCCAGAGTGTTAACTTTATTTTTATGATCCTGCGATCAAGGAATTGTGTATAATTATAGTGGAAAAACTAAATGGTCTACACAAACATGAAGGATATTTGTGAATACCTGCTCCTCAGTGTTCCAACTGGCATGGAAGTAATTTTGGAAACTAACAAATACTGTTTGCGATTATACAGTGATTGGTGTTGAAATTTTGAAATCTGTCATTGAGCTTTGATATAAGTAAATTATGTTGGCCATATCCTGAAGATACGCTGTTAGCAAGTTATCAAATGTGTTTTTCACTCCAAGAGAAATGAATTGTAAAAAATAGTGTATGAATCTTTGTTTCTGATGTCCTTGGAGTTAACGTTTGATGATACTCCTTGGTATAATTAGAAGTTAGTCTATTATGTGATTTAACCTTATACTTTTTACCATAGTACCTTTTACTTGAGTGAATGATATCAATATGATTGTTTGCTATAAGTATAACGAGGATAATTGTGTCAGGGTACCTTGAGTGTACTAGTCCAAGAGATGGGAGCGATTTATTTCACCCAAGAGGTCCATACATGTACAAGTTATTGCTTGTTTCGAAGACAAAAAAGGCTGAATTTTCAAACAATGTTTGTCTTACAAAAATCTGATGGTCCATTTTCACACTAGGGGGCGCTGAAGTCATGACTCAGCAATTCTTTATGCATTATACCTCTGACAAGTAAATGGATGTTTTCATCATAGTTTTTCTTTTAAAATTGGTTGTCAAAATAAAGAGAATACAACAACCTACACAGTCATACACAACATTTAAGCGTTCAAATATATTTCAATAATTGTTTGGCATAACAAGTGCAAAAATAATCAATTTCGTTCTTTTTCCTTCCTTCACATTAAAGAGCAACATTGTATTTTCTGTAACAGAAATGTGTTGAAATTAATTAAAAGTAATTAAAAGGTTATTACGAAATTTGTGACCGGGGTCATATGTTAAACGTTGACACAAGGGAGATAACTCTTGGCAATGGTTTTCATAAAAGTTTTTTTTTTTATACGTTTTAAAGAAAATAAAAGCACCTGGGATAAAATGTATTAGTTAATGGGTCATCAGTTAAACCAGATATCGGTTAGAATCTATAAAGGAGGGCACAAAATCATTTCTCACCAAATTTCAATCCAAAGAGTTTTTTTACAGCAGCTTCAGTTTACAATTATTATCCTTTGGCGTACGTTATAGCACTTGCAATGAGGATATCTGCATAAGAAGTTCCATATCTTATTTGACCCACACAATACATGTTGTTATATCTGAACAATGATAACTAATTCATATGCATCTTGTTTTGAAATTATTCTAATGAATCTAAATGACCACATGATCGTATGTATTTCAGATATATTTCAACTATCCAAATTTGCATATCTAGTAGCCATAAATCAAACAGTTACTGACCCACTTGATTGTTGCCTGTAGTAAGAGTCATGATCTTGTTTAGTATGACACATATTGTTATTTAAGCTATTTACGTACAGCTAAGTGTATGTCCATCTCACATCTTCAAGGCATGACAAATCTACCAGACAAATCTTCTTCATCTGTGTCTGTGTCACTTCTGCTGTCTGAACCGTGACTCATGCTTGCATCAGCATCATCTACATCTAAATCATCAGGGATGGTTTTCAGTTCCTTTGTGATGCGGCTTGGCATGCTCCATCTACTAGCTTTAAGACATGTCCTTCTGGTGCATATTTAACAGGAGTTGACGTGTGAGCATTTCACCAAACACTTGACACAAAGTTTGTTCGTTTGATCTTCTCAACCAATGATCTCTAGGATGGTGGAAACACACATGGGTCACACCCTCGAATCCTGTCAAGTGGAGCATAATTTGTTGAAGGAGCATTCGTCTGTTTTAAAACACTAAATCGAATGTCATTTATGCCTGACATCTCTGGCCTGGAATATAAGGCGCACACAAACTTCTCAATTCCAGAAACAATGTTTTGTGATAGTATCTGTGACAACCCCACACATTTAAATGTTGACTTCAAGGCTTCTGATGACTGGATTATTTGCAAGGGTCGACACTTTCCCTTTCTGATGAATGCAGCTGTATAGTCGCACCCTGTGAAAGCGTGTACAGACGAATGTACTTGACACATGTCTTCACCAACTACAGAAGCAACTGCATTGATGTCGATGTAGCGTCTTGTGTTGTTGCTGCTGTTCCCTGTATCCATCCAGACATGTCCCCCTTTCAGGTGTTTTAAGTGATGAAGCAGCAAAACAAGTACATCTGTATCCGATGCCCTAACAGATATGTTTGGAGAGTCAAGATCTTCACAGACATTACACAGATGGAAGATAATTCTGGTGTCAGCTTCTTCATGGGAGGAAGCTAGATGAGGTACTACAGCTCTAACAATGTTTCCACCACTTGCTGTATACACATAACAAATGTTTTCAATGGCAACACCCAGGATAGAACTGTAGTCATTCCTTGGCAAGAAATTTAAGGAATGATGTTTTAAAAGACGGATATCTTAAAGCCTGATGGAATTCCTTAGGTCTTGTTTGTATCGATCCAGTAAGAACTGTTTCCATAACAGTTTCACCACGCTTCTGTCTTTCAATGTCCTTGATTGATGGGCTTGACTATGTGTCACACAAAAATTCTATGCGTGGAGCATTTCTACACTGGATACTAAGTACAAGTCTGGCAATATCCTTTTACAGGAGAGGGAGGTTTGTGGGAGACTGAACAAGGTGCATCCCATCGATAATTATCACATCAACTGTGTCAGGTGATGAGTATGATTCAATGTTGCTTTCAAGAAACTTGGATAACTTTGATTTGTCAGTCTTGTTAATAGACCCATCTATCTGACCTAGACAAAGTGGAACTGGTGTCAACGGCTACTTGAAAACTTCTTTCAAATCCGAGCTAGTTGATGAGGCCAAGAATAGTAGCTGCCGTAACAGGTCACAAGAGCATTGCAGTTCTCGTATTTTCTTGTCTTTGGAGTGGATTTTCAATTTCAGAGCTCCATCAGCAAAGTTCTTGATCTTTTGTCATGGAATTGGTTTCTCAAAATGGCTTGGATCAATGAAACACCCGTCCCTGAAGTTATTGTACTATTCCTGACCTTTTTCCAGACACTAGAGTGTAGATCTTGTGCGATTGGAGGTGAGACAGCTTTCCCTGTGCTGATACAGGACAGCTGAGAATCAATGTTTTCTTCTTGAAAGGCTTTCAATATCATTTGTTACTTGATCTACGTCATGCTGATCTCGCTGTTATCTGGAGGCTTTGCTTTTGGCTTTTAAGACATCCTGCTTTGGTTGCAGTCCAGCCATCCTCAACAAATATCCAACAACTAAACTTCTCATTGATCGAGTGATCATCCATCACTTTCTTGCAGACTCTGATTGGGTGAAAGAAGATAGCCTTGAGTGAGTGAGTGAGTAAGTATGATATTCCAGCAATTTCACGGCGGGTGACACCAGAAATGGGCTTCACACATTGTACCCATGTCGGGAATCGAAACCGTCTTTGGCATGACGAGCGAACACTTTAACCACTAGGCTACCCGATCGCCCCAGTGAGCCTTGAGGTAGCATCAGCATTGACAGTCTGCGCCAACCCCATGTCAACTGGAGCACGGGAAAACTCTTTTGATGTTCTTGATTGACAGCCCTCCGTTTTCAAGCATCTTTCTTGCATCTGGATGGGTGACATCTATATTCAAGAGATTCAGGTGATACCTGGCCATCCATTGTGCATAATTGTGTCCACTGGCAAGAAAAAAGGCATATTTTCCTGAGACAGTATGTGAATAGACTGAGATCATTAGTCCTGCATGCTCTGCTGAACAATAAATACAGGTTCACCATGTCGATGTACATGACCCAGTACTGGGCTGTTTTCCCTTGGCTGTTTGATCTGGTTTCATTCATGAAAATCGCATATTTGTGCAGCAGTTGAGTCACCTCCTTTGCTTTGAGGGCATTCATCAGATTTTCAGGAGATGGACTGGCTGAAAGATTTGTCACAGTCTCTTTCAATTTAGTGTCAACAAGATCCAAATTATGAATCAGAAATGTTTGGAAATGTAGTTTCCAAAAGGAAAGTGCCATAATAGGATGTATGCGTTTACACCTATTAATATGTTTGCCACTTATGAAGCCCTTCAAAGAGCCACTGGCAATAACTCCTGAACAGTCCCCATGAACAATCTATATGAAGTGTCCCAGGCAAGCAAAGTATGCCATGGATATGTGGAACGCTCCAGAGCAAATGTATACAAGTGTATATTGATCTCCACATTGCTGTGCTACTTTCTTGGATATCCATAATGTCTCAGGAACAACATTGAGCTGGGTTGCGGGATGTGTCAGATTCTCCATATATTCTATTTGTTGCTGTGGTAAACTGTCTTCTGCAAGTTGTGCATTATTCCATGTACATGCCATCATACATAAGGCATCGGTACACAAGCTTGATAGCATTTCTAAGGATCATCCTGGCTGCGGATAACATATTGAAACTGTCCCACTTTAGGTTTCTTTCTGAAGGTTCTAGTTCATTTTGCTCATCTTGACATGAACGTTTTCTTGTTGATTTCTTTGGTTCACTATTGGTTTTGTCAGTGGGTGGCAAACATGTACCACTCACAGTAGCATCCATTGGAATATTTTGGAAGCAGTATCATGCAGTGTACCCTTTCCTTGACAGAGTGTCAGTGTTTTCATCATAAACTGAACAACACAAGTTCCTGTGATATTGAATAACATTTGATGCAAAGTTATGTTTTTTACCAAATCTGAAACAATTTCGGTTTGCAACAGATAAAAGACTCCTGTAAGTGTTCAAATGGTTTAATTTGCCATGATGACTTCAGAAAATGCGTGATATCATAAAAAAACCATGAAAATGCCAAATGTCAATTTACAAATCAATAGCGTGTGTGTCCACCTCTGGTTGCGATTCAAGGACCACATCTTCGTCTCATTGAATTGACCAGGCGCACACAAAGTCCTGTGGGATATCTGTTCATATCTGCTGGAGCATGTTTCGAAGTTCCTGGAGTGTCTATGGAACACGTGGTTGACGTCGAAGGCGCCGATCCATCTCAGCCCACATGTGCTCGATTGGTGAGAGATCAGGGGAGCGAGCCGGCCAGGGGATGACATTCACATTGTTTTGTTGAAGAGAATCAAGAACAAGTCGAACAAATGAGGCCAGGCGTTGTCATGTTGAAAGGCAATGCCTGGGCAATGACAACGCAAAAACGGTAGAACAACAGGGCCGATGATTTCGTCGCGGTAGTGCTGTCCATTGAGATTTCCCTCTACCACTATCAAACAGGTCCTCTGCCTTGCTGTAATCCCACCCCATACCATAACGCTGCCGCCCCCGAACCGATCTTCCTCCATGACACAATGATTGACGTAACGTTCACCTCGACGTCGGTACACTCGAGTCCGTCCATTGCTGTGGCTGAGGTGAAAAAAAGACTCGTCAGTGAATAGAACTTGTCCCCACTGCATGGCCGTCCAGCGTAGACGCTGTCTGCACCACTGTCGACGTGATTGACGGTGGTTTCCTGTCAAAATGGGACGTCTTGCGGGTCTTCTTGCGACAATCACTGCATATCGAATGCGGCGACGTACGGTTTGTGAAGATATTCGTCGAAGGCCAGGGATGCTTCATGCAGTCGCTGTTGATGGCTGGAATCGATTTCATAGGTGTGTTATTCGAATCCAGTTGTCTTGTCGATTATTGTTTACGCAGGGCCTGCCACTCCAAGATGGTCTCTGACTGCATTCTTCTGTTGCCAACGTTGCCATAAACACCAAATGGTGTTTCTGTGGACGTTAAAATGTCTTGTAACGTCACGTTGACTCGATCCTGCTTCAAGCATACCAATGGCTCGCAGACGCTCATTAATTGCGTAAATTTGTTGTTTTTCGGAGTGGTTGTCAGCACAATGCTCAACAATGCATATGGAATCCCGTTAACGCACATGTTTTTACACCCATTCTTGTAGTGAAATGCATGGAGCTTGCATAAAAGTCAACCCTTTGCATGGAATGCATGCTTTTCTGTAGCAGTTGCGTTTTTTGTGACTTGATTCCATACATGTACTACAATATTGAAAACCAAACTGTACTTGTTTGAAAAATACACAAAAATATTGGTGTCACAGGAACTTTTGTTGTTGAGTACAGTTATCCCATGCAAGTCACGTTGATAATCCAGCTATGCTTTTCGGTCCATAAGGTAGTGGAGATTCGGTTTTAATCATTTCCGTCACATGATATCCAACAAAGTGGCCCAAGCGTTTTAAGATCTCAAGGACTTTGCGACTTCCAGTGATACTTTTCAATCCTAAAGCAAGACGAAGATGTTTAGATGGCTTTATAAACCCTCTTGGAGTTTCTAAAAGTGCATCCTCATCTGAAGATTGAACATATTTCTCTGCCCTGACATGATCATCACATTTTATTGGAGACTCAGTATAGAGAGTTCTGAAGAAACACCTCAAAGTGTCTGCTGGTTTTGTTGTTGCCTCAGCAATAATGCTTGGTGAAATGGGAAATGGGAGTTCATTTGATGATGTTTTGAGTCTTAGGATTTCTTTTCTAAGTACAAGGGTAGCTTCAACAACTCAAGCATCATTGTTTGTGGACTGCTGGTATGCATATTTCACTGCCTCGTCGACACTTGCGACTTGCAATAAACTATTTTCCCTACTTTGTTTGAAAGTTTAGTGATTCATACGTGATCTTTGAAACGTTTTAAAATCTTTCTTTCTAATTTCTCAGCCCTGTAATTGGAGGCCTAGAAAAGGCAAGTTATTCTTGTGTAATGACGTTAGCTTCTCTTCACCATTCAGCTCAATGATATTTGTTTAAATATAACCCGAAAGCTGCTTGAAGCGTTTGTCATGCACTACCTGAAGGTTTATTTTTCTGGATCACTTGAAATTGAGCATCACGGTAATTGAATGACAATTTTTCTGCTTTTTTACGTACTGTTGTTTGCATCAGTGATGATATTTTACTTCTTTAGAAATGAAGTCAATGTCACCAATTTCAGCAAGCAACTTTCTGTCATCAAGAATGTGTGCTGCATTTTTTATATTCTCCTCTGCTTCAAAACGCTCACATTTACCTGCATGCTCTCTGACCTTGCCAAACCTCTTGGTCAAAAGTTTGCAAAATATGCAGGTGTTTCCAAAAATGCCTTTGGTATGAATAATGTTGCTGTCTGACTGAGATCGTAAGAGACATGATTGGCTTGTTTCAGTTGAGATGTGTTCTTTTGGAATTGCAGTACAATTATTGTAGCATGAATGGTGATAACCAAATGAATCACCCAAGGCATCTACTGTTCTTAGTCTTTCACAAATGTTTTCTTATTTGGAATGTCTGAACTTTTCCAATCAAAGTTTTGAAATGTTCTGAACTTTTTGCCATGATTCACTGTCGAAATCGTGAACAGATTATGTTGCAGGTGTATTGCAATGCAGAATGCATATACGGTTCTTCACTGAATGAAAAGGTTTGTAAGAACAACAAAATTAATGAGATAACAAAAGGTGGAAACTTCAGGGAAGCCAACATATAATTGGAGCTGATAGGTGATTAGAAATAGACAATGGACGCAGACACTTTACAGTTGGCACTGGAGGATCTTGTGGATGGTTTTGGAAACTAGGTGGGCAAAGAAAACTACAAGAAACCATTGACAGCAGGATACACCAGCTAGCCATGAAGCCATGGACTTATTGCTTTGATATTTGTCGTTGCTAATCATCTATCTGGCTTCCTTTTGCTCATTGCTATTTCTTTTCTTTTACCTATCAGTGCTATTTACCCCCGGCCTCCGGTTTGCCCATTGTCCATTGCCAATTACCAATCAGTGATAATTTAAGTTCTGGCTTCCAGTTGTCCATAACTATCAGCGCTAATTGCTGTAAAGTGTTGACTTCCATTGTCTGTTGCTAATCACCTATCAGCGCCAATTAAATGTTGGCCTCCCTTGTTAAGTTTCCACCTTTTGTTATGTTATTACTTTTGTTGTTCTTACATGTACACATATATATATGCTCTCTGCCTCATAGCATTCCCCTCATGAAGGAGCAAGCATATAGTCCAAAACGTTGTGTTCCTCATAATTAAGAAGTTGACATCTTCTTCATGTGTATCACTTCTAAATGCCTTTCAAAAGCTTAAACACTTTTAATAAGTGAGTGAGTGAGTGAGTATGGTATTACGCCGCTTTTAGCAATAGTCAAGCAATATCACGGCGGGGGACACCAGAAATGGGCTTCACACATTGTAAACTCACAAACAACGACTTCAGGAAACTACATTCCATCTGAAAGAAATCATCTATACATAAGCACCCTTTATGCATATTTATTGTGAACAGGTTTTAGGCTAAATATGCAAGATTTGCTTGGCTCAATGTAAGCAATTAGAAATACCTTTAATTGTAAACCATTATTTAATGATATAGGTGTATTTTTATAACATCAATTTTACTGTTTCAGATGCCCTTACATTACCAACAACAACGACCTTAGCAACAACGACCCTTCAACGTAAGTGATATGAATTAATATGCAGTCGATTATGGTAAAGTCCACCAACTATTTTTAAGTTTGACATTCAGGTGCTTCTGAATTTGTCAGTATGTATTTCCCAATAGATTTGTTTTGTTTGTTGTTCTTGCTAATCTTGTCGTAAAAGGCGACTAACGGGATCGGGAGGTCAGGCTAGCTGACTTGGCTGATGCATGTCTGATGATTGTTTGGTCCAGACTAGCTTAAATATAGACCATCGTCATACAGCTGGAATATCACTGAGTGCGGCGTAAAACAACAAACCAACCAACTTTACTCTAGCAACAACAACAACAACCATTCCACGTAAGTTTATGAGATAATATGCTGTTGTCAGATCGTGAAACCGACGGTGACAGTCGACCGGATCGCGATGAGGGATGTGGTAGAACCGCTTGGTGTCAGTGTGAGCATTGCTTTGCCATGACTACATCTCATTGGTTTGTTGTTTAACGCCGCACTCAGCAATATTCCAGCTATATGACGGCGGTCTGTAAATAATCGAGTCTGGACCATCCAATACAGTGATTAATATCATGAGCATCAATCCACGCAATTGGGATCGATGACATGGATCAACCAAATCAGCGAGCCTGACAACCCGATCCCATTAGTCGTCTTTTTGACAAGCATAGTCGCCTTTTACGGCAAGCATGGGTTGCTGAAGACCTATTCTATCCTGGATCTTCATGGGTCTTTTCCCAATAGAGATCATTTTTTGATGAAATATTTGAGTTAACTTGATTCATTTTCAGGATCTGCTCGGTCATAGTAGATGGACATATTTCTCGGGTAACTTCATAGCAATTGTTACTTAAATAATTCAGAAAATATAAACTGTAGTTATTCAGAAATGGTAATCATTATCTGTAAATGGTTTCAATCTGTGCTTATCATTTTACCTTCCGAATCCATCACGTTTTCAGCTGAATGCACAATAATATGATAATTGTTTGTTTTCTAGTTTAACGCGGCACTCAGCAATATTCCAGCTATATGACGGCGGTCTGTGAATAATTGAGTCTTAACTAGACAATCCAGTGATTGACATCATGAACATCGATCCACGCAGTTCCGACAATTATGACAAAATATGAAAAGGACATTTCCGCCAAAGAACGAGAAAACAGATCTATTTCCATTGATGAACATTTTCTTTCAGCCTGCACTGATGCCGGAATCTCATGTATTGCTACAAGTAACTGTAACTCCTTTGGAATTATTGCTAGTCGCCAGTGTCCAAGTGGTCAGGTTTGCTGTGCCGGTGAGTATTCTGACTTCGATTGACCTCAAAACATGGGCATTCTTCCAAGGGCGTGAACTATTTTCTGTTAAACGCAAAAAAGGGTTGATGATGAGAAGACATAGATGTAGGAATTCCATTTCCATTTTCAGATTTGTTTTTTGTGATCCTGTGATCAAGGAATTATGAACAATTTTAGAGGAAAACTAAACGATCCATACAAACATGTAGATAACTTGTGAATACCTGCTTCTTAGTGTTCTAACTGTCAAGGAAGTCATTTTGAGAACTTCAAAAGACTGATTGTCATTATACAGTAATTTGTTTTGAAATATAATGAAATTTGCCATATTTCTAGTTTGTATGTATAAACCTGTCTATATTTGTTCTTTGTGTTGGCCATATTGTGAATCCTAAGGATAGGTTATGTGTCAGCTGGTATGTTTTTCATTATAAGAGTAAAAGACATATCTGAGGCGGGTGTTCGTGCCCTACGAATTATGTATGCCTCACAGGACAAAGGAATCAGCATCCTTTTAAAAAGTTTCATAACCACATGTACACTTGGTGCTCAGCATATGGCATTTAGCAATATACACCAGTCAAACAAAACGGCTACTGTTGCTCTTCCTATGCCATGTTCGTCCCATGGTGACAAGATGTCAATAGCCACTGGTCGTCGATTCACGTTGGTTTACACTTTACGGTATTATGTAGTGCAAGCAGCTCGGTAAGCACACTATTTCATGGCTTGCAGTTGCTGCAGTCTGCTAAAATAGTGGCGGAAACATAGTTGCAGCTTGTACAAGACACCTCTGCTCACAATAAACAGCAACACCGAGCTTCGGCGATGTTAACATGTCAGCTTGACCACACGATGCACTTGTAGAATGCTTTAAGTCCCATGATAAAATTGAAGCAAATTAATATAAAAACTAAAATTTAAAAAAGTCTTATTGCTGCTTGGGTTGATGGATAAGCACACATTGAGTGGATAATAAAGTGGGACCTTTTTCAATAATAAACATCCCATTTTAGTGGTGTTGTGTTGTGTTGTGTTTAAAACGTAAATATGCCTCTTGACGTAAGGGTGCAGGCTATCAAATGAAACAGCCCGTCAGTTAGCCCTGTTCGTGGATTTTAGGGCGCCGCTCATTACAGGATTCTTTTTAAACCCATCTCTAATAAAACAAAAGATGAGTCTTAATTTCAGCGTCTTAGAAAAGTAATAAAGTTTGCTCTACCTCCTTGTATATTGTAATAAAGAAAAGTTTTGCCCTGAGCTATTATAACGTCAAAGCACTAGGGCACAGGTGCACTCGTGCTTCAACTGTAATAGTACATGGCAAAACTATTCATATTAAACTGTACATGGGGATAGAGCAAACTTTATTTCTTTAATAGAGCTGTATTTTCATGACATTAATTGTATTGTTTCAGATGCCCTTACTTTAGCAACAACAACGACCTTAGCAACAACTACCGTAGCAACAACAATCTTAGCAACAACGACCTTAGCAGCAACGACCTTATCAACTACGACCCTAGCAACAACAACACTTCAACGTAGGTGGTATGAATTAATATGCAGTCGACTTTGGTAAAGTCCACCGACAATGTTTAGTAGGAAACACAGGTGCTTCTGAATTTGTCAGCATGTATTTCCAACTAGATTTGTTTTGTTTGTTGTTAAACGCCACACACAGCAAAATTCCATCTATATGACGGCTGTCTGTAAATAATGGAGTCTGGGCGAGACAATCCAGTTATTTACATCATGAGCATCAATCCACGTGATTTGAATCAATGACATGCATCAAACAAGTCAGTAAGCCTGACCACCCGATTCTGTTTGTCACCTCGTACAACAAGCATAGTCACCTTTAAGGGCAAGCATGGGTGCTGAAGACATATTCTATCCCAGATCTTCATGGGTCTTTTCCCAATAGAGATCTTCTTTTGATGAAATATTTGAGTTAACTTGATTCATTTTCAGGATCTGCTCGGTCAAAGTAGATGGACATATTTCTGGGATAACTTGACATGCAATTGTCACTTAAACAATCCAGAAAATATTAACTGTAGTAATACGGAAATGGTTATCATTATCAGTAAATGGTTTCAATCTGTGCATATCATTTTAATTGCCCTCCGAATACACCACATTTTTGCCTGAATGCACAATAATATGATAATTGTTTGTTTCTTGTTTAACGCGGCAATAAGCAATATTCAAGCTATATGACGGCGGCCTGTAAATTATTGAGTCTGGACCAGACAGTCCAGTGATTGACATCATGAGCATCAATCCAAGCAATTCGGAGAATTGTGACAAAATATGAAAAGGACATTTCCGCCAAAGAACGAGAAAACAGATCTATTTCAATTGATGAACATTTTCTTTCAGCCTGCACTGATGCCGGAATCTCATGTATTGCTACAAGTAACTGTAACTCCTTTGGAATTATTACTAGTCGCCAGTGTCCAAGTGGTCAGGTTTGCTGTGCCGGTGAGTATTCTGACCTCGTTTGACCTCAAAACATGGGTATTCTTCCAAGGGCGTGAACTATTTTCTATTAAACGCAAAGAAGGGTTGATGGTGAGAAGACATAGATGTAGGAATTCCATTTCCATTTTCAGATTTGTTTTTTTGTGATCCTGTGATCAAGGAAATATGAATAATTTTAGAGGAAAACTAAACGATCCATACAAACATGTAGATAACTTGTCAATACCTGCTTCTTAGTGTTCTTACTGTCAAGGAAGTCATTTTGAGAACTTCCAAAGACTGATTGTCATTATACAGTATTGTTTTGAAATATAATGAAATTTGCCATATTTCTAGTTTGTATGTATAAACCTGTCTATATTTGTTCTTTGTGTTGGCCATATTGTGAATCCTAAGGATAGGTTATGTGTTAGCTGGTATGTTTTTCAATTAAAGAGTGAAAGACATGCCAGAGGCGGGTGTTTGTACCGTACGAATTATGTATGCCTCACAGGACAAAGGAATAAGCAATCCTTGAAAAGTTTCATAACCACATGTACACTTGTTGCTCAGCATACGGCATTTATCAATATACACCAATCACACAAAACGCCTACTGTTGGTCTTCCTGTGCCATGTTCGTCCCATAACGACACCATATCACGAGCCACTGTTCGTAGATTCACGTTGGTTTACGCGTCATGGTATCATGTAGCACAAGCAGCTCGGTAAGCACACTATTTCATCGCTTGCAGTTGTTGCAGTCTGCTAACGGTAGTGGCAGAAACAATGTTGACACTTGTACAAAACACCTCTGCTCAAAATAACAAGCAACACTGAACTTCGGCTATGTTTACATGTAAGCTCTACCACACAATGCACTTGCTGAATGGTTCGAGTCACGTGACAAAATTGAAGCAAATTAATATAAAATCTTAAATTTAAAAAAAGTCTTATTGCTGCATGGGTTTATGGGTAACAACACATATAATGGGTAATGAAGTGGGACCTATTTCAATAATAAACAACCCATTTTAGTGGCGTTGTGTTTTGTTTGAAACGTAATTCAGCCTCTTGACGTAAGGGTGTAGGCAATTAGATGGACCAGCCCGTCAGTTAGCCCCGTTTGTGGAATTTAAGGCGCCGCTCATTACAGGATTCTTTTTAAACCCATCTCTCATAAAACAGAAGGAAATTCTTAAATTCAGCATATTAGAAACGTAATCCAGTTTGCTGTACCCCTTTGTATATTGTAATAAAGAATAGTTTTGCCCTGAGCTATTATAACGTCAAAGCACTCCGCCGCAATTTCACTCGTGCTTTAACTGTAATAGTACATGGTAAAACTATTCATATTAAACTGTACATGGGGATAGAGCAAACTTTATTTCTTAAATAAAGCTGTATTTTCATGAAATCAATTGTACTATTTCAGATGCCCTTACTTTAGCAACAACAACGACCTTAGCAACAACCACCTTAGCAACAACGACCTTAGCAACAACAACACTTCAACGTAAGTGGTATGAATTAATATGCAGTCGACTATGGTAAAGTTAACCAACAATGTTTAAGTAGGAAAGTTAAGTGCTTCTGAATTTGTCAGCATGTATTTCCCAATAGCTTTGTTTTGTTTGTTGTTTAACGCCGCACTCAGCAATATTCCAGCTATATGACGGAGGTCTGTAAATAATGGAGTCTGGACCAGACAATCCAGTGATTGATATCATGAGCATCGATCCACACAATTGGTTGGTTGGTTGGTTTGTTGTTTAACGCCGCACTCAGCAATATTCCAGCTATATGATGGCGGTCTGTAAATAATCTTGTCTGGACCAGACAATCCAGTGATTGAAATCATGAGCATCCATCCACGCAATTTGGATCGGTGACATGCATCAACCAAGTCAGCGAGCCTGACCACCTGATCCTGTTTGTCAACTCGTACAACAAGCATAGTCACCTTTTGCGGCAAGCATAGGTGCTGAGGACCTATTCTATCCCAGATCTTCAAGGGTCTTTTCCCAATAGAGATCTTCTTTTGATGAAATATTAGAGTTAACTTGATTCATTTTCAGGATCTAATCGGTCATAGTAGATGGACATATTTCTCGGGTAACTTGACATGCAATTGTCACTTAAACAATCCAGAAAATACTAACTGTAGTAATTCGGAAATGGTTTTCATTTTCAGTAAATGGTTTCAATCTGTGCATATCATTTTAATTGCCTTCGGAACACACCACTTTTTTTGCTGAATGCACATAAATATATTATTTGTTTGTTTCTTGTTTAACACGGCACTCAGCAATATTCCAGCTACATGACGGCAGTCTGTAAATAATTGAGTCTGGACCAGACAGTCCAGTGATTGACATCATGAGCATCGATCCACGTAATTAGGTCAATTGTGACAAAATATGAAAAGGACATTTCCGCCAAAGAATGAGAGAACGGATCTATTTCCACTGATGAACGTTTTCTTTCAGCCTGCACTGATGCCGGAATCTCATGTATTGTCATGAGTAGCTGTAACTCCATTGGAATTATTCCTGGTCGCCAGTGTCCAAGTGGTCAGGTTTGCTGTGCCGGTGAGTATTCTGACCTCGTTTGACCTCAAAACATGGGTATTCTTCCCAGGGCGTGAACTATTTTCTATTAAACGCAAAGGAAGGTTCAAGATGAGAAGAAATAAATGTAGGAATTCCATTTCCATTTTCAGAATTGATTTTGTGATCCTGTGATCAAGGAATTGTGAATAATTGTAGAGGAAAGCTAAACGATCCATACAAACATGTAGATAACTTGTTAATACCTGCTTCTTAGTGTTCCAACTGCCAAGGAAGGCATTTTGAGAACTTCCAAAGACTGATTGTCTTTATACAGTAATTGTTTTGAAATGTAATGAAATTTGCCATATTTCTGGTTTGTATGTATAAACCTGTCTATATTTGTTCTATGTGTTGGCCATTTTGTGGATCCTAAGGATAGGTTATGTGTCAGCTGGTATGTTTTTTCAATTTAAGAGTGAAAGACATGCAAGAGGCGGGTGTTTGTGCCCTAAGAATTATGTATGCCTCACAGGACAAAGGAATAAGCAATCCTTGAAAAGTTTCATAACCACATGTACCCTTGTTGCTCAGCATACGGCATTTATCAATATACACCAATCACACAAAACGCCTACTGTTGGTCTTCCTGTGCCATGTTCGTCCCATAACGACACCATATCACGAGCCACTGTTCGTAGATTCACGTTGGTTTACGCGTCATGGTATCATGTAGCACAAGCAGCTCGGTAAGCACACTATTTCATCGCTTGCAGTTGTTGCAGTCTGCTAACGGTAGTGGCAGAAACAATGTTGACACTTGTACAAAACACCTCTGCTCAAAATAACAAGCAACACTGAACTTCGGCTATGTTTACATGTTAGCTCTACCACACAATGCACTTGCTGAATGGTTCGAGTCACGTGACAAAATTGAAGCAAATTAATATAAAATCTTAAATTTAAAAAAAAAGTCTTATTGCTGCATGGGTTTATGGGTAACCACACATAGAATGGATAATGAAGTGGGACCTATTTCAATTATAAACAACCCATTTTAGTGGCGTTGTGGTTTTTTTTTCAAACGTGAATATGCCTCTTGAAGTAAGGGTGCAGGCAATTAGATGGACCAGCCCGTCAGTTAGCCCCGTTTGTGGAATTTAAGGCGCCGCTCATTACAGGATTCTTTTTAAACCCATCTCTAATAAAACAGAAGGAAAGTCTTAATTTCAGCATATTAGAAAAGTAATCCAGTTTGCTGTACCCCCTTGTATATTGTAATAAAGAATAGTTTTGCCCTGAGCTATTATAACGTCAAAGCACTCCGCCGCAATTTCACTCGTGCTTTAACTGTAATAGTACATGGTAATACTATTCATATTAAACTGTACATGGGGATAGAGCAAACTTTATTTCTTAAATAAAGCTGTATTTTCATGACATCAATTGTACTATTTCAGATGCCCTTACTTTAGCAACAACAACGACCTTAGCAACAACCACCTTAGCAACAACGACCTTAGCAACAACAACACTTCAACGTAAGTGGTATGAATTAATATGCAGTCGACTATGGTAAAGTTAACGGACAATGTTTAAGCAGGAAATTCAGGTGCTTCTGAATTTGTCAGCATGTATTTCCCAATAGCTTTGTTTTGTTTGTTGTTTAACGCCGCACTCAGCAATATTCCAGCTATATGACGGAGGTCTGTAAATAATGGAGTCTGGACCAGACAATCCAGTGATTGATATCATGAGCATCGATCCACACAATTGGTTGGTTGGTTGGTTTGTTGTTTAACGCCGCACTCAGCAATATTCCAGCTACATGACGGCAGTCTGTAAATAATCTTGTCTGGACCAGACAGTCCAGTGATTGACATCATGAGCATCGATCCACGTAATTAGGTCAATTGTGACAAAATATGAAAAGGACATTTCCGCCAAAGAATGAGAAAACAGATCTATTTCCACTGATGAACGTTTTCTTTCAGCCTGCACTGATGCCGGAATCTCATGTATTGTCATGAGTAGCTGTAACTCCATTGGAATTATTCCTGGTCGCCAGTGTCCAAGTGGTCAGGTTTGCTGTGCCGGTGAGTATTCTGACCTGGTTTGACCTCAAAACATGGGCATTCTTCCCAGGGCGTGAACTATTTTCTATTAAACGCAAAGGAAGGTTCATGATGAGAAGAAATAAATGTAGGAATTCCATTTCCATTTTCAGAATTGATTTTGTGATCCTGTGATCAAGGAATTGTGAATAATTGTAGAGGAAAGCTAAACGATCCATACAAACATGTAGATAACTTGTTAATACCTGCTTCTTAGTGTTCCAACTGCCAAGGAAGGCATTTTGAGAACTTCCAAAGACTGATTGTCTTTATACAGTAATTGTTTTGAAATGTAATGAAATTTGCCATATTTCTGGTTTGTATGTATAAACCTGTCTATATTTGTTCTTTGTGTTGGCCATTTTGTGGATCCTAAGCATAGGTTATGTGTCAGCTGGTATGTTTTTTCAATTTAAGAGTGAAAGACATGCAAGAGGCGGGTGTTTGTGCCCTAAGAATTATGTATGCCTCACAGGACAAAGGAATAAGCAATCCTTGAAAAGTTTCATAACCACATGTACACTTGTTGCTCAGCATACGGCATTTATCAATATACACCAATCACACAAAACGCCTACTGTTGGTCTTCCTGTGCCATGTTCGTCCCATAACGACACCATATCACGAGCCACTGTTCGTAGATTCACGTTGGTTTACGCGTCATGGTATCATGTAGCACAAGCAGCTCGGTAAGCACACTATTTCATCGCTTGCAGTTGTTGCAGTCTGCTAACGGTAGTGGCAGAAACAATGTTGACACTTGTACAAAACACCTCTGCTCAAAATAACAAGCAACACTGAACTTCGGCTATGTTTACATGTAAGCTCTACCACACAATGCACTTGCTGAATGGTTTGAGTCACGTGACAAAATTGAAGCAAATTAATATAAAATCTTAAATTTAAAAAAAGTCTTATTGCTGCATGGGTTTATGGGTAACCACACATTGAATGGATAATGAAGTGGGACCTATTTCAATAATAAACAACCCATTTTAGTGGCGTTGTGTTGTGTTTGAAACGTAATTCAGCCTCTTGACGTAAGGGTGTAGGCAATTAGATGGACCAGCCCGTCAGTTAGCCCCGTTTGTGGAATTTAAGGCGCCGCTCATTACAGGATTCTTTTTAAACCCATCTCTAATAAAACAGAAGGAAAGTCTTAATTTCAGCATATTAGAAAAGTAATCCAGTTTGCTGTACCCCCTTGTATATTGTAATAAAGAATAGTTTTGCCCTGAGCTATTATAACGTCAAAGCACTCGGCCGCAATTTCACTTGTGCTTTAACTGTAATAGTACATGGTAAAACTATTCATATTAAACTGTACATGGGGATAGAGCAAACTTTATTTCTTAAATAAAGCTGTATTTTCATGACATCAATTGTACTATTTCAGATGCCCTTACTTTAGCAACAACAACGACCTTAGCAACAACCACCTTAGCAACAACGACCTTAGCAACAACAACACTTCAACGTAAGTGGTATGAATTAATATGCAGTCGACTATGGTAAAGTTAACGGACAATGTTTAAGCAGGAAATTCAGGTGCTTCTGAATTTGTCAGCATGTATTTCCCAATAGCTTTGTTTTGTTTGTTGTTTAACGCCGCACTCAGCAATATTCCAGCTATATGACGGAGGTCTGTAAATAATGGAGTCTGGACCAGACAATCCAGTGATTGATATCATGAGCATCGATCCATACAATTGGTTGGTTGGTTGGTTTGTTGTTTAACGCCGCACTCAGCAATATTCCAGCTATATGAATGCGGTCTGTAAATAATCTTGTCTGGACCAGACAATCCAGTGATTGAAATCATGAGCATCCATCCACGCAATTTGGATCGGTGACATGCATCAACCAAGTCAGCGAGCCTGACAACCTGATCCTGTTTGTCAACTCGTACAACAAGCATAGTCACCTTTTGCGGCAAGCATAGGTGCTGAGGACCTATTCTATCCCAGATCTTCATGGGTCTTTTCCCAATAGAGATCTTCTTTTGATGAAATATTAGAGTTAACTTGATTCATTTTCAGGATCTACTCGGTCATGGTAGATGGACATATTTCTCGGGTAACTTGACATGCAATTGTCACTTAAACAATCCAGAAAATACTAACTGTAGTAATTCGGAAATGGTTTTCATTGTCAGTAAATGGTTTCAATCTGTACATATCATTTTAATTGCCTTCGGAACACACCACTTTTTTTGCTGAATGCACATAAATATATTATTTGTTTGTTTCTTGTTTAACACGGCACTCAGCAATATTCCAGCTACATGACGGCAGTCTGTAAATAATTGAGTCTGGACCAGACAGTCCAGTGATTGACATCATAAGCATCGATCCACGTAATTAGGTCAATTGTGACAAAATATGAAAAGGACATTTCCGCCAAAGAATGAGAAAACAGATCTATTTCCACTGATGAACGTTTTCTTTCAGCCTGCACTGATGCCGGAATCTCATGTATTGTCATGAGTAGCTGTAACTCCATTGGAATTATTCCTGGTCGCCAGTGTCCAAGTGGTCAGGTTTGCTGTGCCGGTGAGTATTCTGACCTCGTTTGACCTCAAAACATGGGTATTCTTCCCAGGGCGTGAACTATTTTCTATTAAACGCAAAGGAAGGTTCATGATGAGAAGAAATAAATGTAGGAATTCCATTTCCATTTTCAGAATTGATTTTGTGATCCTGTGATCAAGGAATTGTGAATAATTGTAGAGGAAAGCTAAACGAACCATACAAACATGTAGATAACTTGTAAATACCTGCTTCTTAGTGTTCCAACTGCCAAGGAAGGCATTTTGAGAACTTCCAAAGACTGATTGTCTTTATACAGTAATTGTTTTGAAATGTAATGAAATTTGCCATATTTCTGGTTTGTATGTATAAACCTGTCTATATTTGTTCTTTGTGTTGGCCATTTTGTGGATCCTAAGCATAGGTTATGTGTCAGCTGGTATGTTTTTTCAATTTAAGAGTGAAAGACATGCAAGAGGCGGGTGTTTGTGCCCTAAGAATTATGTATGCCTCACAGGACAAAGGAATAAGCAATCCTTGAAAAGTTTCATAACCACATGTACCCTTGTTGCTCAGCATACGGCATTTATCAATATACACCAATCACACAAAACGCATACTGTTGGTCTTCCTGTGCCATGTTCGTCCCATAACGACACCATATCATGAGCCACTGTGCGTAGATTCACGTTGGTTTACGCGTCATTGTATCATGTAGCACAAGCAGCTCGGTAAGCACACTATTTCATCGCTTGCAGTTGTTGCAGTCTGCTAACGGTAGTGGCAGAAACAATGTTGACACTTGTACAAAACACCTCTGCTCAAAATAACAAGCAACACTGAACTTCGGCTATGTTTACATGTTAGCTCTACCACACAATGCACTTGCTGAATGGTTCGAGTCACGTGACAAAATTGAAGCAAATTAATATAAAATCTTAAATTTGAAAAAAAAGTCTTATTGCTGCATGGGTTTATGGGTAACCACACATAGAATGGATAATGAAGTGGGACCTATTTCAATTATAAACAACCCATTTTAGTGGCGTTGTGTTTTTTTTTTCAAACGTGAATATGCCTCTTGAAGTAAGGGTGCAGGCAATTAGATGGACCAGCCCGTCAGTTAGCCCCGTTTGTGGAATTTAAGGCGCCGCTCATTACAGGATTCTTTTTAAACCCATCTCTAATAAAACAGAAGGAAAGTCTTAATTTCAGCATATTAGAAAAGTAATCCAGTTTGCTGTACCCCCTTGTATATTGTAATAAAGAATAGTTTTGCCCTGAGCTATTATAACGTCAAAGCACTCGGCCGCAATTTCACTCGTGCTTTAACTGTAATAGTACATGGTAATACTATTCATATTAAACTGTACATGGGGATAGAGCAAACTTTATTTCTTAAATAAAGCTGTATTTTCATGAAATCAATTGTACTATTTCAGATGCCCTTACTTTAGCAACAACAACGACCTTATCAACAACCACCTTAGGAACAACCACTTTAGCAACAACGACCTTAGTAACAACAACACTTCAACGTAAGTGGTATGAATTAATATGCAGTCGACTATGGTAAAGTTAACGGACAATGTTTAAGTAGGAAATTCAGGTGCTTCTGAATTTGTCAGCATGTATTTCCCAATAGCTTTGTTTTGTTTGTTGTTTAACGCCGCACTCAGCAATATTCCAGCTATATGACGGAGGTCTGTAAATAATGGAGTCTGGACCAGACAATCCAGTGATTGATATCATGAGCATCGATCCACACAATTGGTTGGTTGGTTGGTTTGTTGTTTAACGCCGCACTCAGCAATATTCCAGCTACATGACGGCAGTCTGTAAATAATCTTGTCTGGACCAGACAGTCCAGTGATTGACATCATGAGCATCGATCCACGTAATTAGGTCAATTGTGACAAAATATGAAAAGGACATTTCCGCCAAAGAATGAGAAAACAGATCTATTTCCACTGATGAACGTTTTCTTTCAGCCTGCACTGATGCCGGAATCTCATGTATTGTCATGAGTAGCTGTAACTCCATTGGAATTATTCCTGGTCGCCAGTGTCCAAGTGGTCAGGTTTGCTGTGCCGGTGAGTATTCTGACCTGGTTTGACCTCAAAACATGGGCATTCTTCCCAGGGCGTGAACTATTTTCTATTAAACGCAAAGGAAGGTTCATGATGAGAAGAAATAAATGTAGGAATTCCATTTCCATTTTCAGAATTGATTTTGTGATCCTGTGATCAAGGAATTGTGAATAATTGTAGAGGAAAGCTAAACGATCCATACAAACAGGTAGATAACTTGTTAATACCTGCTTCTTAGTGTTCTTACTGCCAAGGAAGTCAGTTTGAGAACTTCCAAAGACTGATTGTCATTATACAGAAACTGTTTTGGAATCTAATGAAATTTGCCATATTTCTGGTTTGTATGTATAAACCTGTCTATATTTGTTCTATGTGTTGGCCATTTTGTGGATCCTAAGCATAGGTTATGTGTCAGCTGGTATGTTTTTTCAATTTAAGAGTGAAAGACATGCAAGAGGCGGGTGTTTGTGCCCTAAGAATTATGTATGCCTCACAGGACAAAGGAATAAGCAATCCTTGAAAAGTTTCATAACCACATGTACCCTTGTTGCTCAGCATACGGCATTTATCAATATACACCAATCACACAAAACGCCTACTGTTGGTCTTCCTGTGCCATGTTCGTCCCATAACGACACCATATCACGAGCCACTGTTCGTAGATTCACGTTGGTTTACGCGTCATGGTATCATGTAGCACAAGCAGCTCGGTAAGCACACTACTTCATCGCTTGCAGTTGTTGCAGTCTGCTTACGGTAGTGGCAGAAACAATGTTGACACTTGTACAAAACACCTCTGCTCAAAATAACAAGCAACACTGAACTTCGGCTATGTTTACATGTTAGCTCTACCACACAATGCACTTGCTGAATGGTTCGAGTCACGTGACAAAATTGAAGCAAATTAATATAAAATCTTAAATTTAAAAAAAAAGTCTTATTGCTGCATGGGTTTATGGGTAACCACACATAGAATGGATAATGAAGTGGGACCTATTTCAATTATAAACAACCCATTTTAGTGGCGTTGTGTTTTTTTTTTCAAACGTGAATATGCCTCTTGAAGTAAGGGTGCAGGCAATTAGATGGACCAGCCCGTCAGTTAGCCCCGTTTGTGGAATTTAAGGCGCCGCTCATTACAGGATTCTTTTTAAACCCATCTCTAATAAAACAGAAGGAAAGTCTTAATTTCAGCATATTAGAAAAGTAATCCAGTTTGCTGTACCCCCTTGTATATTGTAATAAAGAATAGTTTTGCCCTGAGCTATTATAACGTCAAAGCACTCGGCCGCAATTTCACTCGTGCTTTAACTGTAATAGTACATGGTAATACTATTCATATTAAACTGTACATGGGGATAGAGCAAACTTTATTTCTTAAATAAAGCTGTATTTTCATGACATCAATTGTACTATTTCAGATGCCCTTACTTTAGCAACAACAACGACCTTATCAACAACCACCTTAGGAACAACCACTTTAGCAACAACGACCTTAGTAACAACAACACTTCAACGTAAGTGGTATGAATTAATATGCAGTCGACTATGGTAAAGTTAACGGACAATGTTTAAGCAGGAAATTCAGGTGCTTCTGAATTTGTCAGCATGTATTTCCCAATAGCTTTGTTTTGTTTGTTGTTTAACGCCGCACTCAGCAATATTCCAGCTATATGACGGAGGTCTGTAAATAATGGAGTCTGGACCAGACAATCCAGTGATTGATATCATGAGCATCGATCCACACAATTGGTTGGTTGGTTGGTTTGTTGTTTAACGCCGCACTCAGCAATATTCCAGCTACATGACGGCAGTCTGTAAATAATCTTGTCTGGACCAGACAGTCCAGTGATTGACATCATGAGCATCGATCCACGTAATTAGGTCAATTGTGACAAAATATGAAAAGGACATTTCCGCCAAAGAATGAGAAAACAGATCTATTTCCACTGATGAACGTTTTCTTTCAGCCTGCACTGATGCCGGAATCTCATGTATTGTCATGAGTAGCTGTAACTCCATTGGAATTATTCCTGGTCGCCAGTGTCCAAGTGGTCAGGTTTGCTGTGCCGGTGAGTATTCTGACCTGGTTTGACCTCAAAACATGGGCATTCTTCCCAGGGCGTGAACTATTTTCTATTAAACGCAAAGGAAGGTTCATGATGAGAAGAAATAAATGTAGGAATTCCATTTCCATTTTCAGAATTGATTTTGTGATCCTGTGATCAAGGAATTGTGAATAATTGTAGAGGAAAGCTAAACGATCCATACAAACATGTAGATAACTTGTTAATACCTGCTTCTTAGTGTTCCAACTGCCAAGGAAGGCATTTTGAGAACTTCCAAAGACTGATTGTCTTTATACAGTAATTGTTTTGAAATGTAATGAAATTTGCCATATTTCTGGTTTGTATGTATAAACCTGTCTATATTTGTTCTTTGTGTTGGCCATTTTGTGGATCCTAAGCATAGGTTATGTGTCAGCTGGTATGTTTTTTCAATTTAAGAGTGAAAGACATGCAAGAGGCGGGTGTTTGTGCCCTAAGAATTATGTATGCCTCACAGGACAAAGGAATAAGCAATCCTTGAAAAGTTTCATAACCACATGTACACTTGTTGCTCAGCATACGGCATTTATCAATATACACCAATCACACAAAACGCCTACTGTTGGTCTTCCTGTGCCATGTTCGTCCCATAACGACACCATATCACGAGCCACTGTTCGTAGATTCACGTTGGTTTACGCGTCATGGTATCATGTAGCACAAGCAGCTCGGTAAGCACACTATTTCATCGCTTGCAGTTGTTGCAGTCTGCTAACGGTAGTGGCAGAAACAATGTTGACACTTGTACAAAACACCTCTGCTCAAAATAACAAGCAACACTGAACTTCGGCTATGTTTACATGTAAGCTCTACCACACAATGCACTTGCTGAATGGTTTGAGTCATGTGACAAAATTGAAGCAAATTAATATAAAATCTTAAATTTAAAAAAAGTCTTATTGCTGTATGGGTTTATGGGTAACCACACATTGAATGGATAATGAAGTGGGACCTATTTCAATAATAAACAACCCATTTTAGTGGCGTTGTGTTGTGTTTGAAACGTAATTCAGCCTCTTGACGTAAGGGTGTAGGCAATTAGATGGACCAGCCCGTCAGTTAGCCCCGTTTGTGGAATTTAAGGCGCCGCTCATTACAGGATTCTTTTTAAACCCATCTCTAATAAAACAGAAGGAAAGTCTTAATTTCAGCATATTAGAAAAGTAATCCAGTTTGCTGTACCCCCTTGTATATTGTAATAAAGAATAGTTTTGCCCTGAGCTATTATAACATCAAAGCACTCGGCCGCAATTTCACTCGTGCTTTAACTGTAATAGTACATGGTAAAACTATTCATATTAAACTGTACATGGGGATAGAGCAAACTTTATTTCTTAAATAAAGCTGTATTTTCATGACATCAATTGTACTATTTCAGATGCCCTTACTTTAGCAACAACAACGACCTTAGCAACAACCACCTTAGCAACAACGACCTTAGCAACAACAACACTTCAACGTAAGTGGTATGAATTAATATGCAGTCGACTATGGTAAAGTTAACGGACAATGTTTAAGCAGGAAATTCAGGTGCTTCTGAATTTGTCAGCATGTATTTCCCAATAGCTTTGTTTTGTTTGTTGTTTAACGCCGCACTCAGCAATATTCCAGCTATATGATGGCGGTCTGTAAATAATCTTGTCTGGACCAGACAATCCAGTGATTGAAATCATGAGCATCCATCCACGCAATTTGGATCGGTGACATGCATCAACCAAGTCAGCGAGCCTGACAACCTGATCCTGTTTGTCAACTCGTACAACAAGCATAGTCACCTTTTGCGGCAAGCATAGGTGCTGAGGACCTATTCTATCCCAGATCTTCATGGGTCTTTTCCCAATAGAGATCTTCTTTTGATGAAATATTAGAGTTAACTTGATTCATTTTCAGGATCTACTCGGTCATGGTAGATGGACATATTTCTCGGGTAACTTGACATGCAATTGTCACTTAAACAATCCAGAAAATACTAACTGTAGTAATTCGGAAATGGTTTTCATTGTCAGTAAATGGTTTCAATCTGTACATATCATTTTAATTGCCTTCGGAACACACCACTTTTTTTGCTGAATGCACATAAATATATTATTTGTTTGTTTCTTGTTTAACACGGCACTCAGCAATATTCCAGCTACATGACGGCAGTCTGTAAATAATTGAGTCTGGACCAGACAGTCCAGTGATTGACATCATAAGCATCGATCCACGTAATTAGGTCAATTGTGACAAAATATGAAAAGGACATTTCCGCCAAAGAATGAGAAAACAGATCTATTTCCACTGATGAACGTTTTCTTTCAGCCTGCACTGATGCCGGAATCTCATGTATTGTCATGAGTAGCTGTAACTCCATTGGAATTATTCCTGGTCGCCAGTGTCCAAGTGGTCAGGTTTGCTGTGCCGGTGAGTATTCTGACCTCGTTTGACCTCAAAACATGGGTATTCTTCCCAGGGCGTGAACTATTTTCTATTAAACGCAAAGGAAGGTTCATGATGAGAAGAAATAAATGTAGGAATTCCATTTCCATTTTCAGAATTGATTTTGTGATCCTGTGATCAAGGAATTGTGAATAATTGTAGAGGAAAGCTAAACGATCCATACAAACAGGTAGATAACTTGTTAATACCTGCTTCTTAGTGTTCTTACTGCCAAGGAAGTCAGTTTGAGAACTTCCAAAGACTGATTGTCATTATACAGAAACTGTTTTGGAATCTAATGAAATTTGCCATATTTCTGGTTTGTATGTATAAACCTGTCTATATTTGTTCTATGTGTTGGCCATTTTGTGGATCCTAAGCATAGGTTATGTGTCAGCTGGTATGTTTTTTCAATTTAAGAGTGAAAGACATGCAAGAGGCGGGTGTTTGTGCCCTAAGAATTATGTATGCCTCACAGGACAAAGGAATAAGCAATCCTTGAAAAGTTTCATAACCACATGTACCCTTGTTGCTCAGCATACGGCATTTATCAATATACACCAATCACACAAAACGCATACTGTTGGTCTTCCTGTGCCATGTTCGTCCCATAACGACACCATATCACGAGCCACTGTTCGTAGATTCACGTTGGTTTACGCGTCATGGTATCATGTAGCACAAGCAGCTCGGTAAGCACACTACTTCATCGCTTGCAGTTGTTGCAGTCTGCTTACGGTAGTGGCAGAAACAATGTTGACACTTGTACAAAACACCTCTGCTCAAAATAACAAGCAACACTGAACTTCGGCTATGTTTACATGTTAGCTCTACCACACAATGCACTTGCTGAATGGTTCGAGTCACGTGACAAAATTGAAGCAAATTAATATAAAATCTTAAATTTAAAAAAAAAGTCTTATTGCTGCATGGGTTTATGGGTAACCACACATAGAATGGATAATGAAGTGGGACCTATTTCAATTATAAACAACCCATTTTAGTGGCGTTGTGTTTTTTTTTTCAAACGTGAATATGCCTCTTGAAGTAAGGGTGCAGGCAATTAGATGGACCAGCCCGTCAGTTAGCCCCGTTTGTGGAATTTAAGGCGCCGCTCATTACAGGATTCTTTTTAAACCCATCTCTAATAAAACAGAAGGAAAGTCTTAATTTCAGCATATTAGAAAAGTAATCCAGTTTGCTGTACCCCCTTGTATATTGTAATAAAGAATAGTTTTGCCCTGAGCTATTATAACGTCAAAGCACTCGGCCGCAATTTCACTCGTGCTTTAACTGTAATAGTACATGGTAATACTATTCATATTAAACTGTACATGGGGATAGAGCAAACTTTATTTCTTAAATAAAGCTGTATTTTCATGACATCAATTGTACTATTTCAGATGCCCTTACTTTAGCAACAACAACGACCTTATCAACAACCACCTTAGGAACAACCACTTTAGCAACAACGACCTTAGTAACAACAACACTTCAACGTAAGTGGTATGAATTAATATGCAGTCGACTATGGTAAAGTTAACGGACAATGTTTAAGCAGGAAATTCAGGTGCTTCTGAATTTGTCAGCATGTATTTCCCAATAGCTTTGTTTTGTTTGTTGTTTAACGCCGCACTCAGCAATATTCCAGCTATATGACGGAGGTCTGTAAATAATGGAGTCTGGACCAGACAATCCAGTGATTGATATCATGAGCATCGATCCACACAATTGGTTGGTTGGTTGGTTTGTTGTTTAACGCCGCACTCAGCAATATTCCAGCTACATGACGGCAGTCTGTAAATAATCTTGTCTGGACCAGACAGTCCAGTGATTGACATCATAAGCATCGATCCACGTAATTAGGTCAATTGTGACAAAATATGAAAAGGACATTTCCGCCAAAGAATGAGAAAACAGATCTATTTCCACTGATGAACGTTTTCTTTCAGCCTGCACTGATGCCGGAATCTCATGTATTGTCATGAGTAGCTGTAACTCCATTGGAATTATTCCTGGTCGCCAGTGTCCAAGTGGTCAGGTTTGCTGTGCCGGTGAGTATTCTGACCTCGTTTGACCTCAAAACATGGGTATTCTTCCCAGGGCGTGAACTATTTTCTATTAAACGCAAAGGAAGGTTCATGATGAGAAGAAATAAATGTAGGAATTCCATTTCCATTTTCAGAATTGATTTTGTGATCCTGTGATCAAGGAATTGTGAATAATTGTAGAGGAAAGCTAAACGATCCATACAAACATGTAGATAACTTGTTAATACCTGCTTCTTAGTGTTCCAACTGCCAAGGAAGGCATTTTGAGAACTTCCAAAGACTGATTGTCTTTATACAGTAATTGTTTTGAAATGTAATGAAATTTGCCATATTTCTGGTTTGTATGTATAAACCTGTCTATATTTGTTCTTTGTGTTGGCCATTTTGTGGATCCTAAGCATAGGTTATGTGTCAGCTGGTATGTTTTTTCAATTTAAGAGTGAAAGACATGCAAGAGGCGGGTGTTTGTGCCCTAAGAATTATGTATGCCTCACAGGACAAAGGAATAAGCAATCCTTGAAAAGTTTCATAACCACATGTACACTTGTTGCTCAGCATACGGCATTTATCAATATACACCAATCACACAAAACGCATACTGTTGGTCTTCCTGTGCCATGTTCGTCCCATAACGACACCATATCACGAGCCACTGTTCGTAGATTCACGTTGGTTTACGCGTCATGGTATCATGTAGCACAAGCAGCTCGGTAAGCACACTATTTCATCGCTTGCAGTTGTTGCAGTCTGCTAACGGTAGTGGCAGAAACAATGTTGACACTTGTACAAAACACCTCTGCTCAAAATAACAAGCAACACTGAACTTCGGCTATGTTTACATGTTAGCTCTACCACACAATGCACTTGCTGAATGGTTCGAGTCACGTGACAAAATTGAAGCAAATTAATATAAAATCTTAAATTTAAAAAAAAAGTCTTATTGCTGCATGGGTTTATGGGTAACCACACATAGAATGGATAATGAAGTGGGACCTATTTCAATTATAAACAACCCATTTTAGTGGCGTTGTGTTTTTTTTTTCAAACGTGAATATGCCTCTTGAAGTAAGGGTGCAGGCAATTAGATGGACCAGCCCGTCAGTTAGCCCTGTTTGTGGAATTTAAGGCGCCGCTCATTACAGGATTCTTTTTAAACCCATCTCTAATAAAACAGAAGGAAAGTCTTAATTTCAGCATATTAGAAAAGTAATCCAGTTTGCTGTACCCCCTTGTATATTGTAATAAAGAATAGTTTTGCCCTGAGCTATTATAACGTCAAAGCACTCGGCCACAATTTCACTCGTGCTTTAACTGTAATAGTACATGGTAATACTATTCATATTAAACTGTACATGGGGATAGAGCAAACTTTATTTCTTAAATAAAGCTGTATTTTCATGACATCAATTGTACTATTTCAGATGCCCTTACTTTAGCAACAACAACGACCTTAGCAACAACCACCTTAGGAACAACCACTTTAGCAACAACGACCTTAGTAACAACAACACTTCAACGTAAGTGGTATGAATTAATATGCAGTCGACTATGGTTAAGTTAACGGACAATGTTTAAGTAGGAAATTCAGGTGCTTCTGAATTTGTCAGCATGTATTTCCCAATAGCTTTGTTTTGTTTGTTGTTTAACGCCGCACTCAGCAATATTCCAGCTATATGACGGAGGTCTGTAAATAATGGAGTCTGGACCAGACAATCCAGTGATTGATATCATGAGCATCGATCCACACAATTGGTTGGTTGGTTGGTTTGTTGTTTAACGCCGCACTCAGCAATATTCCAGCTACATGACGGCAGTCTGTAAATAATCTTGTCTGGACCAGACAGTCCAGTGATTGACATCATGAGCATCGATCCACGTAATTAGGTCAATTGTGACAAAATATGAAAAGGACATTTCCGCCAAAGAATGAGAAAACAGATCTATTTCCACTGATGAACGTTTTCTTTCAGCCTGCACTGATGCCGGAATCTCATGTATTGTCATGAGTAGCTGTAACTCCATTGGAATTATTCCTGGTCGCCAGTGTCCAAGTGGTCAGGTTTGCTGTGCCGGTGAGTATTCTGACCTCGTTTGACCTCAAAACATGGGCATTCTTCCCAGGGCGTGAACTATTTTCTATTAAACGCAAAGGAAGGTTCATGATGAGAAGAAATAAATGTAGGAATTCCATTTCCATTTTCAGAATTGATTTTGTGATCCTGTGATCAAGGAATTGTGAATAATTGTAGAGGAAAGCTAAACGATCCATACAAACATGTAGATAACTTGTTAATACCTGCTTCTTAGTGTTCTTACTGCCAAGGAAGTCAGTTTGAGAACTTCCAAAGACTGATTGTCATTATACAGAAACTGTTTTGGAATCTAATGAAATTTGCCATATTTCTGGTTTGTATGTATAAACCTGTCTATATTTGTTCTATGTGTTGGCCATTTTGTGGATCCTAAGCATAGGTTATGTGTCAGCTGGTATGTTTTTTCAATTTAAGAGTGAAAGACATGCAAGAGGCGGGTGTTTGTGCCCTAAGAATTATGTATGCCTCACAGGACAAAGGAATAAGCAATCCTTGAAAAGTTTCATAACCACATGTACCCTTGTTGCTCAGCATACGGCATTTATCAATATACACCAATCACACAAAACGCATACTGTTGGTCTTCCTGTGCCATGTTCGTCCCATAACGACACCATATCACGAGCCACTGTTCGTAGATTCACGTTGGTTTATGCGTCATGGTATCATGTAGCACAAGCAGCTCGGTAAGCACACTACTTCATCCCTTGCAGTTGTTGCAGTCTGCTAACGGTAGTGGCAGAAACAATGTTGACACTTGTACAAAACACCTCTGCTCAAAATAACAAGCAACACTGAACTTCGGCTATGTTTACATGTTAGCTCTACCACACAATGCACTTGCTGAATGGTTCGAGTCACGTGACAAAATTGAAGCAAATTAATATAAAATCTTAAATTTAAAAAAAAAGTCTTATTGCTGCATGGGTTTATGGGTAACCACACATAGAATGGATAATGAAGTGGGACCTATTTCAATTATAAACAACCCATTTTAGTGGCGTTGTGGTTTTTTTTTTAAACGTGAATATGCCTCTTGAAGTAAGGGTGCAGGCAATTAGATGGACCAGCCCGTCAGTTAGCCCTGTTTGTGGAATTTAAGGCGCCGCTCATTACAGGATTCTTTTTAAACCCATCTCTAATAAAACAGAAGGAAAGTCTTAATTTCAGCATATTAGAAAAGTAATCCAGTTTGCTGTACCCCCTTGTATATTGTAATAAAGAATAGTTTTGCCCTGAGCTATTATAACGTCAAAGCACTCGGCCGCAATTTCACTCGTGCTTTAACTGTAATAGTACATGGTAATACTATTCATATTAAACTGTACATGGGGATAGAGCAAACTTTATTTCTTAAATAAAGCTGTATTTTCATGACATCAATTGTACTATTTCAGATGCCCTTACTTTAGCAACAACAACGACCTTATCAACAACCACCTTAGGAACAACCACTTTAGCAACAACGACCTTAGTAACAACAACACTTCAACGTAAGTGGTATGAATTAATATGCAGTCGACTATGGTAAAGTTAACGGACAATGTTTAAGCAGGAAATTCAGGTGCTTCTTAATTTGTCAGCATGTATTTCCCAATAGCTTTGTTTTGTTTGTTGTTTAACGCTGCACTCAGCAATATTCCAGCTATATGACGGAGGTCTGTAAATAATGGAGTCTGGACCAGACAATCCAGTGATTGATATCATGAGCATCGATCCACACAATTGGTTGGTTGGTTGGTTTGTTGTTTAACGCCGCACTCAGCAATATTCCAGCTACATGACGGCAGTCTGTAAATAATCTTGTCTGGACCAGACAGTCCAGTGATTGACATCATGAGCATCGATCCACGTAATTAGGTCAATTGTGACAAAATATGAAAAGGACATTTCCGCCAAAGAATGAGAAAACAGATCTATTTCCACTGATGAACGTTTTCTTTCAGCCTGCACTGATGCCGGAATCTCATGTATTGTCATGAGTAGCTGTAACTCCATTGGAATTATTCCTGGTCGCCAGTGTCCAAGTGGTCAGGTTTGCTGTGCCGGTGAGTATTCTGACCTCGTTTGACCTCAAAACATGGGTATTCTTCCCAGGGCGTGAACTATTTTCTATTAAACGCAAAGGAAGGTTCATGATGAGAAGAAATAAATGTAGGAATTCCATTTCCATTTTCAGAATTGATTTTGTGATCCTGTGATCAAGGAATTGTGAATAATTGTAGAGGAAAGCTAAACGATCCATACAAACATGTAGATAACTTGTTAATACCTGCTTCTTAGTGTTCCAACTGCCAAGGAAGGCATTTTGAGAACTTCCAAAGACTGATTGTCTTTATACAGTAATTGTTTTGAAATGTAATGAAATTTGCCATATTTCTGGTTTGTATGTATAAACCTGTCTATATTTGTTCTTTGTGTTGGCCATTTTGTGGATCCTAAGCATAGGTTATGTGTCAGCTGGTATGTTTTTTCAATTTAAGAGTGAAAGACATGCAAGAGGCGGGTGTTTGTGCCCTAAGAATTATGTATGCCTCACAGGACAAAGGAATAAGCAATCCTTGAAAAGTTTCATAACCACATGTACACTTGTTGCTCAGCATACGGCATTTATCAATATACACCAATCACACAAAACGCCTACTGTTGGTCTTCCTGTGCCATGTTCGTCCCATAACGACACCATATCACGAGCCACTGTGCGTAGATTCACGTTGGTTTACGCGTCATGGTATCATGTAGCACAAGCAGCTCGGTAAGCACACTATTTCATCGCTTGCAGTTGTTGCAGTCTGCTAACGGTAGTGGCAGAAACAATGTTGACACTTGTACAAAACACCTCTGCTCAAAATAACAAGCAACACTGAACTTCGGCTATGTTTACATGTAAGCTCTACCACACAATGCACTTGCTGAATGGTTTGAGTCACGTGACAAAATTGAAGCAAATTAATATAAAATCTTAAATTTAAAAAAAGTCTTATTGCTGCATGGGTTTATGGGTAACCACACATTGAATGGATAATGAAGTGGGACCTATTTCAATAATAAACAACCCATTTTAGTGGCGTTGTGTTGTGTTTGAAACGTAATTCAGCCTCTTGACGTAAGGGTGTAGGCAATTAGATGGACCAGCCCGTCTGTTAGCCCCGTTTGTGGAATTTAAGGCGCCGCTCATTACAGGATTCTTTTTAAACCCATCTCTAATAAAACAGAAGGAAAGTCTTAATTTCAGCATATTAGAAAAGTAATCCAGTTTGCTGTACCCCCTTGTATATTGTAATAAAGAATAGTTTTGCCCTGAGCTATTATAACGTCAAAGCACTCGGCCGCAATTTCACTCGTGCTTTAACTGTAATAGTACATGGTAATACTATTCATATTAAACTGTACATGGGGATAGAGCAAACTTTATTTCTTAAATAAAGCTGTATTTTCATGACATCAATTGTACTATTTCAGATGCCCTTACTTTAGCAACAACAACGACCTTATCAACAACCACCTTAGCAACAACGACCTTAGCAACAACAACACTTCAACGTAAGTGGTATGAATTAATATGCAGTCGACTATGGTAAAGTTAACGGACAATGTTTAAGCAGGAAATTCAGGTGCTTCTGAATTTGTCAGCATGTATTTCCCAATAGCTTTGTTTTGTTTGTTGTTTAACGCCGCACTCAGCAATATTCCAGCTATATGACGGAGGTCTGTAAATAATGGAGTCTGGACCAGACAATCCAGTGATTGATATCATGAGCATCGATCCATACAATTGGTTGGTTGGTTGGTTTGTTGTTTAACGCCGCACTCAGCAATATTCTAGCTATATGATGGCGGTCTGTAAATAATCTTGTCTGGACCAGACAATCCAGTGATTGAAATCATGAGCATCCATCCACGCAATTTGGATCGGTGACATGCATCAACCAAGTCAGCGAGCCTGACAACCTGATCCTGTTTGTCACCTCGTACAACAAGCATAGTCACCTTTTGCGGCAAGCATAGGTGCTGAGGACCTATTCTATCCCAGATCTTCATGGGTCTTTTCCCAATAGAGATCTTCTTTTGATGAAATATTAGAGTTAACTTGATTCATTTTCAGGATCTACTCGGTCATGGTAGATGGACATATTTCTCGGGTAACTTGACATGCAATTGTCACTTAAACAATCCAGAAAATACTAACTGTAGTAATTCGGAAATGGTTTTCATTTTCAGTAAATGGTTTCAATCTGTACATATCATTTTAATTGCCTTCGGAACACACCACTTTTTTTGCTGAATGCACATAAATATATTATTTGTTTGTTTCTTGTTTAACACGGCACTCAGCAATATTCCAGCTACATGACGGCAGTCTGTAAATAATTGAGTCTGGACCAGACAGTCCAGTGATTGACATCATAAGCATCGATCCACGTAATTAGGTCAATTGTGACAAAATATGAAAAGGACATTTCCGCCAAAGAATGAGAAAACAGATCTATTTCCACTGATGAACGTTTTCTTTCAGCCTGCACTGATGCCGGAATCTCATGTATTGTCATGAGTAGCTGTAACTCCATTGGAATTATTCCTGGTCGCCAGTGTCCAAGTGGTCAGGTTTGCTGTGCCGGTGAGTATTCTGACCTCGTTTGACCTCAAAACATGGGTATTCTTCCCAGGGCGTGAACTATTTTCTATTAAACGCAAAGGAAGGTTCATGATGAGAAGAAATAAATGTAGGAATTCCATTTCCATTTTCAGAATTGATTTTGTGATCCTGTGATCAAGGAATTGTGAATAATTGTAGAGGAAAGCTAAACGATCCATACAAACATGTAGATAACTTGTTAATACCTGCTTCTTAGTGTTCCAACTGCCAAGGAAGGCATTTTGAGAACTTCCAAAGACTGATTGTCTTTATACAGTAATTGTTTTGAAATGTAATGAAATTTGCCATATTTCTGGTTTGTATGTATAAACCTGTCTATATTTGTTCTTTGTGTTGGCCATTTTGTGGATCCTAAGCATAGGTTATGTGTCAGCTGGTATGTTTTTTCAATTTAAGAGTGAAAGACATGCAAGAGGCGGGTGTTTGTGCCCTAAGAATTATGTATGCCTCACAGGACAAAGGAATAAGCAATCCTTGAAAAGTTTCATAACCACATGTACCCTTGTTGCTCAGCATACGGCATTTATCAATATACACCAATCACACAAAACGCATACTGTTGGTCTTCCTGTGCCATGTTCGTCCCATAACGACACCATATCACGAGCCACTGTGCGTAGATTCACGTTGGTTTACGCGTCATGGTATCATGTAGCACAAGCAGCTCGGTAAGCACACTATTTCATCGCTTGCAGTTGTTGCAGTCTGCTAACGGTAGTGGCAGAAACAATGTTGACACTTGTACAAAACACCTCTGCTCAAAATAACAAGCAACACTGAACTTCGGCTATGTTTACATGTTAGCTCTACCACACAATGCACTTGCTGAATGGTTCGAGTCACGTGACAAAATTGAAGCAAATTAATATAAAATCTTAAATTTAAAAAAAAAGTCTTATTGCTGCATGGGTTTATGGGTAACCACACATAGAATGGATAATGAAGTGGGACCTATTTCAATTATAAACAACCCATTTTAGTGGCGTTGTGTTTTTTTTTTCAAACGTGAATATGCCTCTTGAAGTAAGGGTGCAGGCAATTAGATGGACCAGCCCGTCAGTTAGCCCTGTTTGTGGAATTTAAGGCGCCGCTCATTACAGGATTCTTTTTAAACCCATCTCTAATAAAACAGAAGGAAAGTCTTAATTTCAGCATATTAGAAAAGTAATCCAGTTTGCTGTACCCCCTTGTATATTGTAATAAAGAATAGTTTTGCCCTGAGCTATTATAACGTCAAAGCACTCGGCCACAATTTCACTCGTGCTTTAACTGTAATAGTACATGGTAATACTATTCATATTAAACTGTACATGGGGATAGAGCAAACTTTATTTCTTAAATAAAGCTGTATTTTCATGACATCAATTGTACTATTTCAGATGCCCTTACTTTAGCAACAACAACGACCTTAGCAACAACCACCTTAGGAACAACCACTTTAGCAACAACGACCTTAGTAACAACAACACTTCAACGTAAGTGGTATGAATTAATATGCAGTCGACTATGGTAAAGTTAACGGACAATGTTTAAGTAGGAAATTCAGGTGCTTCTGAATTTGTCAGCATGTATTTCCCAATAGCTTTGTTTTGTTTGTTGTTTAACGCCGCACTCAGCAATATTCCAGCTATATGACGGAGGTCTGTAAATAATGGAGTCTGGACCAGACAATCCAGTGATTGATATCATGAGCATCGATCCACACAATTGGTTGGTTGGTTGGTTTGTTGTTTAACGCCGCACTCAGCAATATTCCAGCTACATGACGGCAGTCTGTAAATAATCTTGTCTGGACCAGACAGTCCAGTGATTGACATCATGAGCATCGATCCACGTAATTAGGTCAATTGTGACAAAATATGAAAAGGACATTTCCGCCAAAGAATGAGAAAACAGATCTATTTCCACTGATGAACGTTTTCTTTCAGCCTGCACTGATGCCGGAATCTCATGTATTGTCATGAGTAGCTGTAACTCCATTGGAATTATTCCTGGTCGCCAGTGTCCAAGTGGTCAGGTTTGCTGTGCCGGTGAGTATTCTGACCTCGTTTGACCTCAAAACATGGGCATTCTTCCCAGGGCGTGAACTATTTTCTATTAAACGCAAAGGAAGGTTCATGATGAGAAGAAATAAATGTAGGAATTCCATTTCCATTTTCAGAATTGATTTTGTGATCCTGTGATCAAGGAATTGTGAATAATTGTAGAGGAAAGCTAAACGATCCATACAAACATGTAGATAACTTGTTAATACCTGCTTCTTAGTGTTCCAACTGCCAAGGAAGGCATTTTGAGAACTTCCAAAGACTGATTGTCTTTATACAGTAATTGTTTTGAAATGTAATGAAATTTGCCATATTTCTGGTTTGTATGTATAAACCTGTCTATATTTGTTCTTTGTGTTGGCCATTTTGTGGATCCTAAGCATAGGTTATGTGTCAGCTGGTATGTTTTTTCAATTTAAGAGTGAAAGACATGCAAGAGGCTGGTGTTTGTGCCCTAAGAATTATGTATGCCTCACAGGACAAAGGAATAAGCAATCCTTGAAAAGTTTCATAACCACATGTACCCTTGTTGCTCAGCATACGGCATTTATCAATATACACCAATCACACAAAACGCATACTGTTGGTCTTCCTGTGCCATGTTCGTCCCATAACGACACCATATCACGAGCCACTGTGCGTAGATTCACGTTGGTTTACGCGTCATGGTATCATGTAGCACAAGCAGCTCGGTAAGCACACTATTTCATCGCTTGCAGTTGTTGCAGTCTGCTAACGGTAGTGGCAGAAACAATGTTGACACTTGTACAAAACACCTCTGCTCAAAATAACAAGCAACACTGAACTTCGGCTATGTTTACATGTTAGCTCTACCACACAATGCACTTGCTGAATGGTTCGAGTCACGTGACAAAATTGAAGCAAATTAATATAAAATCTTAAATTTAAAAAAAAAGTCTTATTGCTGCATGGGTTTATGGGTAACCACACATAGAATGGATAATGAAGTGGGACCTATTTCAATTATAAACAACCCATTTTAGTGGCGTTGTGTTTTTTTTTTCAAACGTGAATATGCCTCTTGAAGTAAGGGTGCAGGCAATTAGATGGACCAGCCCGTCAGTTAGCCCCGTTTGTGGAATTTAAGGCGCCGCTCATTACAGGATTCTTTTTAAACCCATCTCTAATAAAACAGAAGGAAAGTCTTAATTTCAGCATATTAGAAAAGTAATCCAGTTTGCTGTACCCCCTTGTATATTGTAATAAAGAATAGTTTTGCCCTGAGCTATTATAACGTCAAAGCACTCGGCCACAATTTCACTCGTGCTTTAACTGTAATAGTACATGGTAATACTATTCATATTAAACTGTACATGGGGATAGAGCAAACTTTATTTCTTAAATAAAGCTGTATTTTCATGACATCAATTGTACTATTTCAGATGCCCTTACTTTAGCAACAACAACGACCTTAGCAACAACCACCTTAGGAACAACCACTTTAGCAACAACGACCTTAGTAACAACAACACTTCAACGTAAGTGGTATGAATTAATATGCAGTCGACTATGGTAAAGTTAACGGACAATGTTTAAGTAGGAAATTCAGGTGCTTCTGAATTTGTCAGCATGTATTTCCCAATAGCTTTGTTTTGTTTGTTGTTTAACGCCGCACTCAGCAATATTCCAGCTATATGACGGAGGTCTGTAAATAATGGAGTCTGGACCAGACAATCCAGTGATTGATATCATGAGCATCGATCCACACAATTGGTTGGTTGGTTTGTTGTTTAACGCCGCACTCAGCAATATTCCAGCTACATGACGGCAGTCTGTAAATAATCTTGTCTGGACCAGACAGTCCAGTGATTGACATCATGAGCATCGATCCACGTAATTAGGTCAATTGTGACAAAATATGAAAAGGACATTTCCGCCAAAGAATGAGAAAACAGATCTATTTCCACTGATGAACGTTTTCTTTCAGCCTGCACTGATGCCGGAATCTCATGTATTGTCATGAGTAGCTGTAACTCCATTGGAATTATTCCTGGTCGCCAGTGTCCAAGTGGTCAGGTTTGCTGTGCCGGTGAGTATTCTGACCTCGTTTGACCTCAAAACATGGGCATTCTTCCCAGGGCGTGAACTATTTTCTATTAAACGCAAAGGAAGGTTCATGATGAGAAGAAATAAATGTAGGAATTCCATTTCCATTTTCAGAATTGATTTTGTGATCCTGTGATCAAGGAATTGTGAATAATTGTAGAGGAAAGCTAAACGATCCATACAAACAGGTAGATAACTTGTTAATACCTGCTTCTTAGTGTTCTTACTGCCAAGGAAGTCAGTTTGAGAACTTCCAAAGACTGATTGTCATTATACAGTAACTGTTTTGGAATCTAATGAAATTTGCCATATTTCTGGTTTGTATGTATAAACCTGTCTATATTTGTTCTTTGGGTTGGCCATTTTGTGGATCCTAAGCATAGGTTATGTGTAAGCTGGTATGTTTTTTTTCAATTTAAGAGTGAAAGACATGCAAGAGGCGGGTGTTTGGCATTTATCAATATACACCAGTCACACAAAACGCATACTGTTGGTCTTCCTGTGCCATGTTCGTCCCATAACGACACCATATCACGAGCCACTGTTCGTAGATTCACGTTGGTTTATGCGTCACGGTATAATGTAGCACAAGCAGCTCGGTAAGCACACTATTTCATCGCTTGCACTTTGCTGCAGTCTGCTAACGGTAGTGGCAGAAACAATGTTGACACTTGTACAAAACACCTCTGCTCAAAATAACAAGAAACACCGAACTTCGGCTATGTTTACATGTTAGCTCTACCACACAATGCACTTGCTGAATGGTTCGAGTCACATGACAAAATTGAAGAAAATTAATATAAAATCTTAAATTTAAAAGTAGTCTTATTGCTGCATGGGTTTATGGGTAACCACACATAGAATGAATAATGAAGTGGGACCTATTTCAATAATAAACTGTGGAGTTAGCTTATTTGGCGTATATGTATTTAGCGGTATGCAACTGGGTGAGAGTGAATTAGCTCCCTTGGCTGGAGCACGTGTAGAGATCTGTTCATGCAATGCCGACGCTTGTCAACATTAAAGTATCATGAAGCCTAAGAAGACTGATGTCTTTATTCGAGAACCCGACATGGTGTCAGAAGTGGGATGTTTTCCTCACGGATAGCCCACTATGAACTCGAATAGCAAAAGTATGTACGTTTGATTACCAAGACTGATCTAGACTCGTATGAACCGAAAGTTTGAAACTGGCGTAAAATGGCTGAGGTTGGAATTAATAACGAAGGGCAAGGACTAGCTCAGTTACAAGTTCCTGTAGTGACGTATAGGGTTTCTCCTCCCGAACAGTTTGATTTTACTAAACCAGAAACGTCGGCGAAATGGTCAAGAAGGTTCGAGCGTTTCAGACAAACGAGCGTTTCAGGTCCAAGTAAATTCTTATCTATCACATGGGGGATGAAGGTGATGACATTTTATCGGCACTTCACTTAACTGTTGAAGAATCTAAGTCATATCAGACTGTGCTGGATAAATTTGAGAGTCATTTTGTAATCTCTCGAAATGTGATATATGAACGTGCAGTCTTCAATAGAAGAGTTCAAGAAGAAGGTGAAACAGCAGATTCCTTTATTAACTCTCTTCACGTATTGGCCCGCCATTGTGAATACGGTGACTTGCATGATGACCTCATCCGAGATCGCATTGTAGTTGGGATCAGAGATACATCACTAAGTGCTAAATTGCAGAGTGACAATAAACTGACTTTAGCTAAAGCTGTCATGTTAGCTCGTCAGAAGGAAATGATCACTAATCAGCAGTCAGAGCTCAGGAAATCAAAGATGTCAAATGCGTCTGTAGATGCTATCATGCCCCGCAAGTTTTCGAAGCAAAACAAGTCTATTAGATACCAGGTCTCAAGAACTCAGAACTCCTACAAGAAAAGGACAAATGAACGACCATGGCGGCCTAAAAGACCTTATTGCATGAAATGTGGTGCTAAACCATCTCACAAATGGAATGAATGTCCAGCACGTGATGCAGAGTGCCATAAGTGCAAGAAAAAAGGACACTATTGTTCAGTCTGCCTTAATAGTAAAAAGGTAGATGAATGTGTGACGGATTTCAACATTGATGGCGATGATGTTGAAGAATGTTTCGTGGGTGAATTGGATGAGCCTGCGTCGAAAAATGGACCATGGATGACAAACATTTCCGTTAACGGAACTTTACTTAGGCTGAAAGTAGATTGTGGGGCCGATGTAACTGCCATTCCGGAACAATCGTATTATCAGCTGAAAGAGGCAACCTTGAAACATACCAACAAACGTTTGTTAGGCCCAGCGAGATCCAGACTGGGAGTGTTAGGAGTTTTCAGCTCGCAGTTAAGGAAAGGTGAGAAACTTACCACCCAGGATATCTACGTTGTGAAAGGTCTAGAACGCCCTCTCCTCGAACGACCTGCAATCAACGCATTAGAACTTATCAAGTTCGTTGACACAGTCACAACTGAAGATGTGGTTGGACAATTTCCCAAAATATTTGAAGGACTTGGTGAGATCCCTGGTGAGTATGACATCCAGTTGAAAGAGGATGCTGAGCCTTTTCACTAAACGCACCAAGACGTGTTGCAATCCCGCTACTTGAAAACGTTAAACAAGAACTTCAGAAAATGCAGGATGCAGCTGTCATTGAGCCTGTCACAGAACCAACCGACTGGTGCTCGGGAATGGTTGTGGTACCCAAGGAAAAAACTGGTGTGCGCATATGTTTAGACCTTACACAGCTGAATAACAGTGTCAAAATGGAAATATTTGCTATGCCATCAGTAGATCACATCTTGAGGCAGATTAAGGATGCAAAGCTCTTCTCTCGTCTTGATGCAAATTCCGGATTCTATCAAATCAAGTTGTCTGAAAAATCGTCAGAACTAACAACCTTCTTTACTCCATTCGGACGCTTTAGATTCCACAGGATGCCGTTTGGAATATCGAGTGCTCCAGAAATATTCCAACGCAAGATGTCACAAATACTTGAAGGCTTGCCAGGTGTCATCTGCCTGATTGATGATATTCTCATCTACGCCACAACACAACAAGAACATGATGAACGTCTGATCAACGTGCTGAAAAGGATCTCTGACAACGGGATCACCCTAAACAAGGCCAAATGTTAATTTGGTAAAACCAAACTTCGTTTCCTGGGACAGATCATCAGTGAAAAAGGCGTCGAAGCAGATCCTCAGAAGCTTAGTGCGATCGACAACATGAAACCACCAAATGATCTAATTGAGTTGAGGAGATTCCTTGGCATGGTAAACCAGATGTCCAAATTCTCAAGTTCTCTGGCAGAGAACACAAAGCCTCTGAGGGACCTCCTGCACAAGGACAGTGCTTTCCTGTGGGGAGAAGCTCAACAGATATCGTTTGACAGGATTAAGTCACAGCTATGTCAATCTCCTACATTGGCGATGTATGACCCTGTGAAAGAAACAAGCATTTCAGCGGATGCATCAAGCTATGGCATAGGAGCTGAGCTAAAGCAGCAACAGGAAGATGAGTCATGGCGTCCTGTGATGTTTGCTTCAAGATCGCTGTCGGAGACAGAACAGCGATATGCCCAGATTGAAAAAGAAGCATTGGCCATAACCTGGGCAACAGAACGCTTCAATGACTTTGTTCTCGGCAAACACTTTCAAGTGGAAACGAATCACAAGCCATTAGTGGCAATCCAGGGATCCAAGTGCCTCAACTACCTAGACTACAGCGGTTTAGGATGCGACTGATGAGATACAGCTACATAGTTTTTCACACCCCTGGAAGAACTTGACTGTAGCTGACACCCTCTCCAGAGCTCCAGTGGAGGAAATACCACTGAGAACAGAAAATAAACTGGAAGAGGAAACTGAAATGTATGTGGAAATGGTTATCAGTCACTTACCAGCTTCAGATGCAAAACTGCATCAAATCGCAACAGAGCAGCATTTTGAATATTCTAGGATCTTCAGTTTCGTCCAAAATGGATGGCTTGCATATCACTCTCTACAGGGGGAGGAAAAGAGGTTATACAGGTTTCGGAACAACCTGACAGTAGTGAACGGCTTACTTCTCAAGGAAATGATGGAACAAATCCACGCAGCTCGTCAAGGGATACGAAAGTGCAGGGAACGAGCACAGACATCGTTGTGGTGGCCAGGACTGAGCACTGAGTTAAAGTCGGTCGTTGAGAATTGCAAGGTATGTCCGAAATACAGACCAAACCGGAAAGAGCCTCTGCTGCCCACATCCTTACCTGAAAGGCCTTGGCAGAAAGTAGGGACCGATTTGTTCGAACTGAACAAAACCATGTATCGGATTGTGGTCGATTACTTCTCCAGATATGCTGAAATAGCTAAGCTGTCCTCGACAACCTCAACTAGCATCATCAACAATCTGAAGTCGATATTCTCAAAACATGGAATACCGGAAACAGTTATTTCTGACAACGGGCCTCAGTATGCATCAGTAGAATTTTGAGAGTTCGCCAGCAAGTACAACTTCAGTCACGTGACCAGCAGTCCGTTGTACGCACAGCGTGCGGTGCAATCATGTAAAAACATTTTGCAGAAAGCTGAAGACCCTCATCTTGCTATGTTGGAATATAGAACAACCCTTCTCTGCCGAAACATCCGATTCAGTTACAGCCGACAAGAGTTCACCACGAGCACTTTAAAGACCTCGACTCAAAACAGAAGTTGGCGACAAAACACAACCATGATCTACGTCACAGAGTGAAAACACTCCCACAGTTGAATCCAGGCGACTCTGTCTGGTTGAACAAATCCGAGAGCAAAGTTGTTCGGAAAGCAGATACCCCCAGATCCTACATCGTGAACACACCAAATGGGGAAGTACGGAGAAACCGATCAGATCCATGCAAGATTCCAACACCGGAAACCTCACGAGACAAAGTTTGTGACTCTGAGGTCAACCGAAATACGGACTGCAACATCACACCCCACTGTCCACCAGGAACACCAAACAGACAAACAGACACTAAAACCAGAGTTGGAAGAATTTCCAGACCTCCCAAGAGACTTGATCTCTGATGAGACTTTGTAGTGAAATGTTGAGGTGTTGATCAATCCAGTTTTATTGTTTTAGTTTAGTGTTCAACAATGTGAATGTAACAAGGTTAAACAGTTATGTTGAATCATTGACCTTTATTCATTTGCTCTTTAGAAAAGACTCTTTTGTCAAAAGTATTGTTTGTGAGAATGAATATTTGACAGATGAAATTGTTAACTTAGTTTAGCAATACTCTAATATGTCATTCAGATTCACAAGTTATTTTCTGGTTTGTAACAATAGGCTTACCAAGGACTTTAATAGCTCAGAAAGGAGGGGTGTGGAGTTAGCTTATTTGGCGTATATGTATTTAGCGGTATGCAACTGGGTGAGAGTGAATTAGCTGCCTTGGCTGGAGGACGTGTAGAGATCTGTACATGCAATGCCGACGCTTGTCAACATTAAAGTATCATGAAGCCTAAGAAGACTGATGTCTTTATTCGAGAACCCAACATAAACAACCCATTTTAGTGGCGTTGTGTTGTGTTTGAAACGTAAATATGCCTCTTGACGTAAGGGTGCAGGCAATTAGATGGATCAGCCCGTCAGTTAGCCCCGTTCTTGGATTTTAGGGCGCCGCTCATTACAGGATTCTTTTTAAACCCATCTCTAATGAAACAGAAGGAAAGCCTTAATTTCAGCACGTAAGAAAAGTAATCCAGTTTGCTGTACCCCCTTGTATATTGTAAGAAAGAATAGTTTTTCCCTGAGCTATTATAACGTCAAAGCACTCGGCCACAATTTCACTCGTGCTTAAACTGTAATAGTACATGGTAAAACAATTCATATTAAACTGTACATGGGGATAGAGCAAACTTTATTTCTTCAATAGAGCTGTATTTTCATGACATCAATTGTTCTGTTTCAGATGCCCTTACTTTAGCAACAACGACCTTAGCAACAACCACCTTAGCAACAACCACTTTAGCAACAACAACACTTCAACGTAAGTGGTATGAATTAATATGCAGTCGACTATGGTAAAGTTAACCAACAATGTTTAAGTAGGAAATTTAAGTGCTTCTGAATTTGTCAGCATGTATTTCCCAATAGCTTTGTTTTGTTTGTTGTTTAACGCCACACTCAGCAATATTCAGTACCAGACAATCCAGTGATTGATATCATGAGCATCGATCCACACAATTGGTTGGTTGGTTGGTTTGTTGTTTAACGCGGCACTCAGCAATATACCAGCTATACGACGGCGGTCTGTAAATAATCGAGTCTGGACATGACAATCCAGTGATAGATGTCGTGAGCATCAACCCACGCAATTTGGACACAATGACATGATTCAACCAAGTCAGCGAGCCTGGTCACTGGATCCTTTTAGTCGCCTCTTACAACAAGCATAGTCATCTTTTACGACAAGCATGGGTTGCTGAAGAACTATTCCGGCCCGGGTCTTGTTATGTTGAAAAACACAATAATAAAACCCAGCATGAAAATGAAAGTCCCATGAATCTTACAAAAGTTTTGATGAGCATTCTTCAGGCACGGTAGTGCATATAAAAATACAGGGCTTTTGTCTTTTTCCTCACATTCCCAAGAAGGTTCATACTGACATTCATTATTAAGCCTGTTGTAGTGATGGCACTTTTTGAAAAGGGAGTCATCCGTAAACTTAAGAACAGATGATTTAATGTCTTGTTTTGTGAAAAAGTGTACATTCTTAACACATTAGTGAGAAAATATGAAAAGGACATTTCCGCCAAAGAACGAGAAAACAGATCTATTTCCATTGATGAACATTTTCTTTCAGCCTGCACTGATACCGGAATCTCATGTATTGTCACTAGTAACTGTAACTCCTTTGGAATTATTTCTGGTCGCCAGTGTCCAAGTGGTCAGGTTTGCTGTGCCGGTGAGTATTCTGACCTTGTTTGACCTCAAAACATGGGCATTCTTCCCAGGGCATGATCTATTTTCTATTCAACGCAAAGGAAGTTTGATGGTGAGAAGAAATAGATGTAGGAATTGAATTTCCATTATTAGTTTGTTTTTTTTATGATCCTGTGATTAAGGTATTGTGAATAATTTGATAGGAAAGCTAAACGATCTATACAAATATGTAGAATACCTGTGAATACCTGCTCCTTAGTGTTCGAACTGTCAAGGAAGTCATTTTGAGAACTTCCAAAGACTGATTGTCATTATACAGTAATTTGTTTTAAAATATAATGAAATTTGCCATATTTCTAGTTTGTATGTATAAACCTGTCTATATTTGTTCTTTGTTTTAACTTCTTTGATAGTCATTTCGAAGTTGGAGTACTAAGTAAGGATAAGAATTTTTGGATGAACAACTTCTTTATTACAATTTAAGAGCGACGTTTTCGGTGAAGGTTCACTTGCTTGATAACGGTGTTAGAACCTACACTGAAACGTCGCTCTTAAATTGTAATAAAGAAGTTGTTCATCCATAAATTCTTATCCTTACTTCGTTCTTTATGTTGGCCGTATTGTGGATTCTAAGCATAGGTTATGTGTCAGCTGGTATGTTTTTTAATTTAAGAGTGAAAGACATGTCTGAGGCGAGTTTTCGTGCCCTACAAATTATGTATGCCTCTCAGGACAAAGGAATAAGCAATCCTTAAAAAGATTCATAACCACATGTACACTTGTTGCTCAGCATACGACATTTAGCAATATACACCAGTTAAACAAAACGGCTACTGTTGCTCTTCCTATGCAATGTTCGTCCTATGCTGACACTGGTCGTCAATTCACGTTGGTTTACACGTTACGTTATCATGTAGCACAAGCAGCTCGGTAAGCACACTATTTCATTGTTTACAGTTGCTGCACTCTGCTAACAATAGTGGCGGAAACAATGTTGACACTTGTACAAAACACCTCTGCTCCGAATAAACAGCAACACTGAACTTCGGCTATGTTTACGTGATAGCTCGACCATACAATGCACTTGTAGAATGGTTCGAGTCACATGATAAAATTGAAGCAAATTAATATAAAAACTTAATTATTTTTTTTATTGCTGCATGGGTTTATGGATAATCACACATTGAATGAATAATGAAGTGGGACCTATTTCAATAATAAAAAAACTATTTTAGCGGTGTTGTGTTGTGCTTAAAACGTAAATATGCCTCTTGACGTAAGGGTGCAGGCATTTAGATGAAACAGCCCGTCAGTTAGCCCTGTTCGTGGATTTTAGGGCGCCGCTCATTACAGGATTCTTTTTAAACCCATCTCTAATAAAACACAAGATGAGGCTTAATTTCAGCATCTTAGAAACATAATAAAGTTTGCTCTACCCCTTTGTATATTGTAAAAAAGAATAGTTTTGCCTTGAGCTATTATGGCGTCAAAGCACTCGGGCGTAAGTGCACTGGTGCTTCAAATGTAAAAGTACACGCCAAACCTATTCATATTAAACTGTACATGGGGATAGAGCAAACTTTATTTCTTCAATAGAGCTGTATTTTCATGACATCAATTGTTCTGTTTCAGATGCCCTTACTTTAGCAACAACGACCTTAGCAACAACGACCTTAGCAACAACCACTTTAGCAACAACAACACTTCAACGTAAGTGGTATGAATTAATATGCAGTCGACTATGGTCAAGTCCACCGACTATGTTTAAGTAGGAAATTCAGGCGCTTCTGAATTTGTCAGCATGTATTTCCCAATAGATTTGTTTTGTTTCTTGTTTAACGCGGCACTCAGCAATATACCAGCTATACGCCGGCGGTCTGTAAATAATCGAGTCTGGACGTGACAATCCAGTGATTGATGTCGTGAGCATCAACCCACGCAATTTGGACACAATGACATGATTCAACCAAGTCAGCGAGCCTGGTCACTGGATCCTTTTAGTCGCCTCTTACAACAAGCATAGTCATCTTTTACGACAAGCATGGGTTGCTGAAGAACTATTCCGGCCCGGGTCTTGTTATGTTGAAAAACATAATAATAAAACCCAGCATGAAAATGAAAGTCCCATGAATCTTACAAAAGTTTTGATGAGCATTCTTCAGGCACGGTAGTGCATATAAAAATACAGGGCTTTTGTCTTTTTCCTCACATTCCCAAGAAGGTTCATACTGACATTCATTATTAAGCCTGTTGTAGTGATGGCACTTTTTGAAAAGGGAGTCATCCATAACCTTAAGAACAGATGATTTAATGTCTTGTTTTGTGAAAAAGTGTACATTCTTAACACATTAGTGAGAAAATATGAAAAGGACATTTCCGCCAAAGAACGAGAAAACAGATCTATTTCCATTGATGAACATTTTCTTTCAGCCTGCACTGATACCGGAATCTCATGTATTGTCACTAGTAACTGTAACTCCTTTGGAATTATTTCTGGTCGCCAGTGTCCAAGTGGTCAGGTTTGCTGTGTCGGTGAGTATTCTGACCTTGTTTGACCTCAACATGGGCATTCTTCCCAGGGCATGATCTATTTTCTATTCAACGCAAAGGAAGGTTGATGGTGAGAAGAAATAGATGTAGGAATTGAATTTCCATTATTAGTTTTTTTTTTTTTTGATCCTGTGATTAAGGTATTGTGAATAATTTGACAGGAAAGCTAAACGATCTATACAAATATGTAGAATACCTGTGAATACCTGCTCCTTAGTGTTCGAACTGTCAAGGAAGTCATTTTGAGAACTTCCAAAGACTGATTGTCATTATACAGTAATTTGTTTTAAAATATAATGAAATTTGCCATATTTCTAGTTTGTATGTATAAACCTGTCTATATTTGTTCTTTGTTTTAACTTCTTTGATAGTCATTTCGAAGTTGGAGTACTAAGTAAGGATAAGAATTTTTGGATGAACAACTTCTTTATTACAATTTAAGAGCGACGTTTTCGGTGAAGGTTCACTTGCTTGATAACGGTGTTAGAACCTACACCGAAACGTCGCTCTTAAATTGTAATAAAGAAGTTGTTCATCCATAAATTCTTATCCTTACTTCGTTCTTTATGTTGGCCGTATTGTGGATTCTAAGCATAGGTTATGTGTCAGCTGGTATGTTTTTTAATTTAAGAGTGAAAGACATGTCTGAGGTGAGTTTTCGTGCCCTACAAATTATGTATGCCTCTCAGGACAAAGGAATAAGCAATCCTTAAAAAGATTCATAACCACATGTACACTTGTTGCTCAGCATACGACATTTAACATATATACACCAGTTAAACAAAATGGCTACTGTTGCTCTTCCTATGCAATGTTCGTCCTATGCTGACACTGGTCGTCAATTCACGTTGGTTTACACGTTACGTTATCATGTAGAACAAGCAGCTCGGTAAGCACACTATTTCATTGTTTACAGTTGCTGCACTCTGCTAACATTAGTGGCGGAAACAATGTTGACACTTGTACCAAACACCTCTGCTCCGAATAAAACGCAACACTGAACTTCAGCTATGTTTACGTGATAGCTCGACCATACAATGCACTTGTAGAATGGTTCGAGTCACATGATAAAATTGAAGCAAATTAATATAAAAACTTAATTATTTTTTTTATTGCTGCATGGGTTTATGGATAATCACACATTGAATGAATAATGAAGTGGGACCTATTTCAATAATAAAAAAACTATTTTAGCGGTGTTGTGTTGTGCTTAAAACGTAAATATGCCTCTTGACGTAAGGGTGCAGGCATTTAGATGAAACAGCCCGTCAGTAAGCCCTGTTCGTGGATTTTAGGGCGCCGCTCATTACAGGATTCTTTTTAAACCCATCTCTAATAAAACACAAGATGAGGCTTAATTTCAGCATCTTAGAAACATAATAAAGTTTGCTCTACCCCTTTGTATATTGTAAAAAAGAATAGTTTTGCCTTGAGCTATTATGGCGTCAAAGCACTCGGGCGTAAGTGCACTGGTGCTTCAAATGTAAAAGTACACGCCAAACCTACTCATATTAAACTGTACATGGGGATAGAGCAAACTTTATTTCTTCAATAGAGCTGTATTTTCATGACATCAATTGTTCTGTTTCAGATGCCCTTACTTTAGCAACAACGACCTTAGCAACAACGACTTTAGCAACAACAACACTTCAACGTAAGTGGTATGAATTAATATGCAGTCGACTATGTTTAAGTAGGAAATTCAGGCGCTTCTGAATTTGTCAGCATGTATTTCCCAATAGATTTGTTTTGTTTCTTGTTTAACTCGGCACTCAGCAATATACCAGCTATACGACGGCGGTCTGTAAATAATCGAGTCTGGACGTGACAATCCAGTGATTGATGTCGTGAGCATCAACCCATGCAATTTGGACACAATGACATGATTCAACCAAGTCAGCGAGCCTGGTCACTGGATCCTTTTAGTCGCCTCTTACAACAAGCATAGTCATCTTTTACGACAAGCATGGGTTGCTGAAGAACTATTCCGGCTCGGGTCTTGTTATGTTGAAAAACATAATAATAAAACCCAGCATGAAAATGAAAGTCCCATGAATCTTACAAAAGTTTTGATGAGCATTCTTCAGGCACGGTAGTGCATATAAAAATACAGGGCTTTTGTCTTTTTCCTCACATTCCAAAGAAGGTTCATACTGACATTCATTATTAAGCCTGTTGTAGTGATGGCACTTTTTGAAAAGGGAGTCATCCATAAACTTAAGGACAGATGATTTAATGTCTTGATTTGTGAAAAAGTGTACATTCTTAACACATTAGTGAGAAAATATGAAAAGGACATTTCCGCCAAAGAACGAGAAAACAGATCTATTTCCATTGATGAACATTTTCTTTCAGCCTGCACTGATACCGGAATCTCATGTATTGTCACTAGTAACTGTAACTCCTTTGGAATTATTTCTGGTCGCCAGTGTCCAAGTGGTCAGGTTTGCTGTGTCGGTGAGTATTCTGACCTTGTTTGACCTCAAAACATGGGCATTCTTCCCAGGGCATGATCTATTTTCTATTCAACGCAAAGGAAGGTTGATGGTGAGAAGAAATAGATGTAGGAATTGAATTTCCATTATGAGATTTGTTTTTTTTATGATCCTGTGATTAAGGTATTGTGAATAATTTGATAGGAAAGCTAAACGATCTATACAAATATGTAGAATACCTGTGAATACCTGCTCCTTAGTGTTCGAACTGTCAAGGAAGTCATTTTGAGAACTTCCAAAGACTGATTGTCATTATACAGTAATTTGTTTTAAAATATAATGAAATTTGCCATATTTCTAGTTTGTATGTATAAACCTGTCTATATTTGTTCTTTGTTTTAACTTCTTTGATAGTCATTTCGAAGTTGGAGTACTAAGTAAGGATAAGAATTTTTGGATGAACAACTTCTTTATTACAATTTAAGAGCGACTTTCGGTGAAGGTTCACTTGCTTGATAACGGTGTTAGAACCTACACCGAAACGTGGCTCTTAAATTGTAATAAAGAAGTTGTTCATCCATAAATTCTTATCCTTACTTCGTTCTTCGTTACTTCTGTTGGCCGTATTGTGCATTCTAAGCATAGGTTATGTGTCAGCTGGTATGTTTTTTAATTTAAGAGTGAAAGACATGTCTGAGGCGAGTTTTCGTGCCCTACAAATTATGTATGCCTCTCAGGACAAAGGAATAAGCAATCCTTAAAAAGATTCATAACCACATGTACACTTGTTGCTCAGCATACGACATTTAGCAATATACACCAGTTAAACAAAACGGCTACTGTTGCTCTTCCTATGCAATGTTCGTCCTATGCTGACACTGGTCGTCAATTCACGTTGGTTTACACGTTACGTTATCATATAGCACAAGCAGCTCGGTAAGCACACTATTTCATTGTTTGCAGTTGCTGCACTCTGCTAACAATAGTGGCGGAAACAATGTTGACACTTGTACAAAACACCTCTGCTCCGAATAAACAGCAACACTGAACTTCGGCTATGTTTACGTGATAGCTCGACCATACAATGCACTTGTAGAATGGTTCGAGTCACATGATAAAATTGAAGAAAATTAATATAAAAACTTAATTTTTTTTTTTATTGCTGCATGGGTTTATGGATAATCACCCATTGAATGAATAATGAAGTGGGACCTATTTGAAAAATAAAAAACCTATTTTAGTGGTGTTGTGTTGTGCTTAAAACGTAAATATGCCTCTTGACGTAAGGGTGCAGGCAATTAGATGAAACAGCCCGTCAGTTAGCCCTGTTCGTGGATTTTAGGGCGCCGCTCATTACAGGATTCTTTTTAAACCCATCTCTAATAAAACGCAAGATGAGGCTTAATTTCAGCATCTTAGAAACATAATAAAGTTTGCTCTACCCCTTTGTATATTGTAAAAAAGAATAGTTTTGCCTTGAGCTATTATGGCGTCAAAGCACTCGGGCGTAAGTGCACTGGTGCTTCAAATGTAAAAGTACACGCCAAACCTATTCATATTAAACTGTACATGGGGATAGAGCAAACTTTATTTCTTCAATAGAGCTGTATTTTCATGACATCAATTGTTCTGTTTCAGATGCCCTTACTTTAGCAACAACGACCTTAGCAACAACGACCTTAGCAACAACGACCATAGCAACAACAACACTTCAACGTAAGTAGAATGAATTAAGATACAGTCGACTATGCTCAAGTCCACCGACTATGTTTAAGTAGTAAAAGGAGGCGGTTCTGAACTTGTCCGCATGTATTTCCCAATGTAAATAATCGAGTCTGGACATGACAATCCAGTGACTGACATCATGAGCATCGATCCATGCGATTCGGATCGATGATATACATCAACCAAGTCAGTGAGCCTGACCACCCGATCCTATTAGTGGCCTTTACAAGAAGTATAGTCACCTTTTTCGGCAAGCATTGGTTGCTGAAGACCTATTCCATCCCGGATCTTCGCATGTCTTTTCCCAACAAACCAACAAACCAACCAACCCAATAGAGATTTTCTTTTGATGAAATATTGTGTTAACTTGATTCATTCTCAGGATCTGCTCGGTCACAGTAGATGGACATATTTCTCGGGTAACTTGACATGCAATTGTTACTTAAACAATCCAGAAAATATAAACTGTAGTAATTCGGAAATGGTTGTCATAATCAGTAAATGGTTTGAACCATTGCATATAATTTTAATTGCCTACCGAATATAGAACGTTTTCGGCTGAATGCACAAAAATATAATATTTGTTTGTTTCTTGTTTAACGCAAGACTCAGCAATTATCCAGCTGCATGACGGAGGTTATGTAAATAATCGAGTCTGGACGTGACAATACAGTTATTGATATCCTGAACATAGATTCACGCAATTGGGACACGCTGAAATGCATCACCCAGGTCAGCAAGTCTGACAACCGGATTCTGTTACCTGCATGTGACAAACATAGTCGTCTTGATTCATTTTCTGGATCCACTCAGTCATATTATATTTATCACTTTGAATGAGGTATTTGTTCTTTGAACACCAACAAGATGTATGATTTGTTCAATTGTGAGAAGTTGTTTTACTTTCAAATCTGACTTTACAGCTGAAATACTACTACATGAACCCTTGAAAAACTACCATGTTATATAAATACGTAATGTATGGTATTGAATGTAACGTATGTTGATTTAATATTCGTGGAAAAAAACATGAGAAATTATCGATATGAGCCATGATTCATCAGGCAAAAGAAAAATGATTCAATTTGTGTCAATTTACACTTTAATTCTGAAAATCACTTAATCCTTTGCATAAAAATGAGGATATTAGAGAATACATACCAGCCATCTAATTGCGTTAAATGCAGTTGAACTAACATGATTGTATTCGACTTGTATAAACAGTAGTGAGATGTGGATGGAATCACATGTTTTTGAAACGTTTGACGCTGTATGCTAGTGCTTGTCTTCACGGTAACGTCAACTGCGCTGAAGTGTTTAAGGTACCGTTGGATCCATATGAAGAGAAGTCAACTCGCTTTCTTGTATCCATTTTGGGACTACCGAACTGTATATACAGATCCTCATCAAAAGTATTTTCTAACGCCCCTGTATCTATGAAGATTACACACGTTTTGCTGTGTATCAGGATTGACACAACATTTTGTTGTTTTTCATCGCGCTGATCCTGTAGCAGTATTCGTCTTCGGTGTGTTTGTGTAACTGTCCTCTTGTATTATTATACCTCCGACCTAAAAGGGCGGGGTTATATAGTTATACCAAGGAATTCCGTCCGTCCGTCCGTCTTTCAATCCGTTCTTCCGGTTCTACTGCATAGGTTGTAGTCAAACTTGATTAACACTTTCTTTATCATTAGGAGATATGCAGTGAAAAGTTTGATTTCAATTTTTTGATTTTCTGAAATAAATACAGCTGTTTCTTTGTTTTACTTGATATGTTGGTTGTTTGGTTTGTTGTTTAACGCCGCACTCAGCAATATTCCCGCAATATGACGGCGGTCTGTAAATAATCTAGTCTGGATCAGACAATCCAGTGATTAATATCATGAACATCGATCCACGCAATTGGGACCGATGACATGTATCAACCAAGTCAGCGAGCCTGACCACCCGATCCTGTTAGTCGCCTTTTACGACAAGCACAGTCGCCTTTTACGGCAAACATGGGTTGCTGAAGACCTATTCTACCCCGGAATCTTCACGGGTCTTACTTGATATGTGGATTTTCTGAGAAAATATGATTTTTTAAATGTCTTGAACTTAAAATAGGTTTTTTACTTCAACATTGGTGCAACCCAGAAACTAAGAACCACTACATGGATTGTTTTCAAATTTAAAGGAATACTTCCTATACTAATAGGAGAGGTGCAGTGCAAAGTTTGATTTTGATATATGTATTTTTTATATTTTGAACTGTTATTTTTATACCCCCGACCTACGATCTTCAAACATGCCATTACTATGTTATATTTTGGTGCCTCTTAGGAGTACAGGCTCCATCATTTAGGAATCAATATATCTCCGACCCGTGAAGATTCCGGGGTAGAATAGGTCTTCTGCAACCCATACTTGCCGTAAAAGGCGACTATGCTTTTCGTAAAAGGTAACTATCGGGATCGGGTGGTCAGACTCGCTGACTTGGTTGATACATGTCATCGATCCCAATTGCTTGGATCGATGTTCATGATATTAATCACTGGATTGTCTGGTCCAGACTCGATTATTTACAGACCGCCGTCATATTGCTGGAATATTGCTGAGTGCGGCGTTGAACAACAAACCAACCAACAACCACTATATCTCCAATATCAACATTGTTCTACAGCTGGTGTTGCCAAATCACTGAAATAAAGCTGCATCAATCTGCAGAAAACATGCAAACAAGTGAACAACATAAACACAGAAGAAACAAGTCAAATAGTGAGCAGGGCGCTCTAATAGGACATCAGCAACCGATGCTTAACGTAAAAGGCGACTATGCTTGTCGTTAGAGGCAACTAACAGGATCGGGTGGTAAGGCGCACTGACTTGGTTGATGCATGTCATCGTGTCCCAATAGCGTGGATCGATGCTCACGATGTCAATCACTGGATTGTCTGGTCCAGACTCGATTATTTACAGACTACCGTCATATAGCTTGAATATTGCTGAGTGCGGAGTTAAACATCAAACCAACCAACCATAACTAATTTCGCTCGAGCAGCGGGGGTATTTCAATTGTAATGATCAAAACCATGAACATTACTTTTTATCCTTCAACATGTTTTATCCTTCAACATGGGATTGAAATTAATTGTTGTGTAGTTTAAGCGATATATTAAGATTACATTTCCCATTTAGCTTCACAAAATGAATTGTCTTTTATGAAAACGCTCCATTTCAGCGTGCACTGTAACTGGCATCTCGTGTGTTGGCACAAGTAGATGTCCTTCCGCAGCAGTCATAAATGCAAGAGAGTGTCCAAGTGGACAGGTGTGCTGTGTCAGTAAGTAATCCGTCCTTATAAAACTAAAACGTGTGTATAATGCTTTGTTATACCTATAACACAACAACAATACAGGTTTGTAATGTTCAAGTGGTTAGGGTCAGAATGTATAAACATTCGATGACACTTGCAACGCGTGTAACGAGGGTACAACCGTTTTTCAATACATATAATACAGAACTGGTTTTCAGCTGAAATTGCCAAACTGATCTTATGAATAGTAAGATCCTCAGACTGACAAAACAAAAAGGGGGATCAAAGGTGATCTTCCAGCATAACGAGGAAATATTTTAACCATTAGTTAGAGGAAGAGGTCATTTTCTCTGTACATGATGTGTTTGTGCGTTCTCTTCTGTTCTGTTATATGCATTAACATAGAAATTGTTAGTGTTTACACAGGTTTGATGGAGTCAACATAAAGACATTTGCTTTGGCTAAACAGACAAACAAACCAATGGAAAACCAAGATGTGTACTTGTAGGCTTGTTGAAATACGCTTACAAAATCAAACAACCTAATCTATTTGCTCCGTGTTTTAATAACATCATTTTTTTCTTTTCAGGTTCTTTGGTCACTTAATGTAAGTAAAATATATTTATTTAACTTTCATGGGTTCTGTTATAGTGAAGCATCTGGATATGGTCAGCCTTTCATCGAGGCAAGGTGCTGTGTGATGTGTTAAAGCTAAACACACATGCCCAACACCCTTCTAAAATTAAAGGTCATAAGTTCAGATGTTGGAATCAGTACCCACAGGGTTAAGAGAAAATGAGTCATTCTTGAAATAGTAGCTAAATAACACTGACATTACCACATTTGGCAAGGATCTGATATACTGTTTTGCGAATGAAACTATTACGTAAATTTGAATAAATAGGTTTGACATGTTGAAAATTATAACAGAAAGTAGAATTCGTGTTTCCTATTTGATTTGTTCTTGATCATTGAAAAAAGAATCTTCATAAAGTCACTATAGAACCACACTGATTGTGATGAAAATACATAACCGTAAGAGATACAAGCATTATTAAGAGTTAACAGTGTTTGTGACAAGCGTTATTCAGAGTTAACAGTGTTTGTGACAAGCATTATTCAGAGTTAACAGTGTTCGTGATAAGCATTATTCTGAGTTAACAGTGTTCGTGACAAGCATTATTCTGAGATGACAGAGTTAGTGATAAGCATTATTTAGAGTTAACAGTGTTCGCGATAAGCATTATTCAGAGTTAACAGTGTTTGTGAAAACATAATTCTGAGTTATCAGAGTTTGTGATAAGAATTTGTCTGAGTGGTCAGTGTTTATGATAAGCATAATTCTGAGATGACAGTGTTTGTGATAAGCATTATTCAGAGTGAACAGAGTTTGTGATAAGGGTTATCCCACAAAGACAGTGTTTGTGATAAGGATTATTTTGAGTTATCTGAATAAGAGAAACATAAATCACAGAGAACCATGCTTAAGATGGAAAAATATTAGCTTCAGAAAAATATATGTACATTTTGTAGAGATAACGTTCACATGATTGGCAGTATGGTTGTACAACAAAAACGCTTGCTAAGTAACATTTTAAGTCGCGATACAGAAGAGTTGTTATGTCTTTAAGACCAACGATTTAATGTTCTGGGTTGTGGGAACGTGGAGGTTTCGTTTCTTCACGGATATATTTTAGTCAGCACATCAAGACATGTTTGTTCACTGAAAGAGTAAAAAACTGTTCTTGTGACCAAAACAATTATTTTCAGCATGAATATTAGCTTCACATTTTGGTAAAACCCGAGTGCAAATTATTATTGCGACACACTAAAGCCTATGTGAGACAGGTAGTTTCAGAGAATGTAAGATATCCTACTCCAGGACTGTGCTTTATCATTTCTTCAGAATACTAACATACTGAAATAAATAGGTAAATATTCAAACCACCCTGGTAATATTGGTGAGGTCGTCATATTACCACATGGCACATGCAACAAGGTTCCTGTTGCGAGTATCCAGCTACAACCTGCTCATAATCGCAAATATATTGCACATATATGACAGATATCATGAGCAAATATCCCAGTCATTAGAATATGATGACATACGGTACACATTCTTCCCACCCGATGCCTTATTTACGTTGGCTGTTGTGACTAGCATGGAATGCTTGGGTCCTGTTCAGTGACAATATCCAATGGTATAAAATAAAATAACAGCTATTGTTGACCATAGTAATACTCCAACACCAAACAAAACCTATGGGGGAATGCAGTGCAATATTATTTTAATTTAATATTGATATGTTTATGATCACAGTAGTCTAGTTTTTGCCACGTTCGTTTGTAAATAATTGAGTGAGTGAGTGAATTAAGATTTAACGTCACATCGGCAATATTTCAGCCATATCGTGACTAAATCAAGTTGTACAGTAATAATACATACATATTGACTATAAAATCTGTCGACAAAGGACAGTAAAAGAACTAGAGTTTCACAGATATAGATATAAAACCAGTAAGTAACCAGAAAACTTTGACTATTTGGAACAATACATCATAAAAATTGGCTGGTGATAACCAGCAACCAAAGTTAGGCCACCATAAAAGGGACCATGGGGACTTACGGTACATCTGCTTCCTGCATGGTACCCAAGCAGGATTTACACCATCCCTCTGGCTACAGGTGATTGTTATAAAATTTTAGCCAAAGCATTTATTCTACGATTAAAAACTTGGAAAATGAAAAAAAACTTTGAATGAAATGGGACTTCATACCCTCTCAGGGGGACAATTATTTTACTTTACTTTAACCCCCTTTGGAGGTACAGCCACTAACAATCCCAGTTATATAATCATTTTGCCAACTTAAAATCACATACTTTTTACAATACATTTTCTCAAAATTTATTAATTCATTTTCTTTAAAAAAAACAATAATTAAATGAACTTAACTGATGAAAAAGATCCTTGATGGATGAAATCTGGAAATAATTATCACTTGTGATGGAAAAATCAATACAGTCAAGCAGGACATGCTTGACCGTGATTCTTTAATCACAAGGGACACAAAATGGAGGATCTTCACCTTTTAATAAATATTCATCGGTATAGCGCGAATGGCCAATACGACATCGTCGCATAATGACCTCTTCAAATCTGGACTAACAACCCAAGAAGGTGTTACGGATAGTTGGTTTTATTGCATCCAATTAATTGGTACCTACTTGGGTGTCCCACTTCTTTTGCATAAGGTCTTTGCTATATCATCTAATTAAAGGTTTGTAGTCACTGTATGGTAGAAGAAGTGGTGTCACAGATTTGTTGAGAGCGGCTTTTGCTGCAGCATCAGCCATTGTGTTGCCTTTTATGCCCACATGACTGGGCAACCAACAAAAGACGATGTCGTATTTGCCAGTAGGTCATTGTATAGTTCTAAAATATCTAAAATGAATGGATGACTTGAAGAGCTCGATTTTATTGCCTGTAGGAAGGAAAGTGAATCTGAGAAGATGATGAACCGTTTGCTGCTATATATATTCCAAAACCGTTAATATGGCTTTTGCTTCAGTGGTGAAAATTGAGCTATGGTCTGGTAAGCGGGATGATACGGTTTTTGATCCAATGACAGCAGCACTGGCGACTGTGCTACCGTCCTTGGATCCATCTGTAAAAATGAAACGGTGGGATTCATATTTAGTTCTAACTTCTATGTATTCTTGTTGGTATATTAATTGATTTGTGTCTGATTTTTTTTTAAAGTGTAAGAGTAAAGTTCACCTCGGGTCGGATAAGTTGCCAAGGAGAGAGGACAAAAGCCTGAAAGGAGAAATATTATCTAAATCAATATTTGCAGCTGTAATGTGTGGTTTAATCCGAATGCCTAGTGGTGGGACCTGCTTCGGCTTACTATAAAAAGTTCTGCATAAAGGGGTTGAAATATACAGTTATATGCAGGGTTTAACGGGTTAGAATGTAATTTTTTTAATGTGTTGAAGCGATAATTTGATACGCCGTTGCTTCAAAGATGGGGTTCATCAGCTCTTAGGCCCTGATGGTGAATTGAATCTATTTTTTGTAAATTGATCTTACAGGAACCATAAACGATGGAGCCATGATCTAATTTAGAGCAGATCAGAGACCTACTATACAAGTGGGGGAGGGTTGTTTTATCACCTCCCAACTTTGTATTGGCAACACCTTTCAACAAATCTAGAGCCTTCAGGCATTTAGTTTTGAGGTAATTAATATGTGGCTTAAAAGTTAAATGGTGATCGAAAATGAGATCCAGGAACTTGGCCTCTTCTACAACCTTGATAGGAGTGCCATGTAACAATAGGTCTGGATATTTGTGGTGCTTGCATTTCCTGCAAAAATGAATACAATTGATCTTAGGTTTCGAAAACTTAAAACCATTGACGAGACACCCTTTTTGGATTTTGTTAAGACATAGCTGCAACTGTCTCTCGATGGTATGCATTTTTTTGCCACAACATGAAATGTTAAAATCGTCCACAAAAAGGGAACCATCAATGGGATCATTTAAAACCTTTGACAGACTATCAATCTTTATACTAAACAAAGTCAAAGACAAAATGCTGCCCTGCGGGACACCTTGATCCTGATCATAATGGTCAGAAAGGGTGGAACCAACACGAACCTGAAATTCTCGGTCTGTTAGAAATTGGGATATACACTGAGGCAAACGGCCTCTTAGCACCATCCCCGTCGGGACCCGGGGAAGATAATCAAGAATGTGTCCTCAGCACCCCATTGCTGGTCGTAAAAGGCAACCGAAGTGGGCAGCCTGTTTGCCGTGTGCTGAGACCCTGTGTCGGCAGAGGAAGGGATTCTGGTGGTTGAGGGCAACGGAGCCGGCAATAGTGCTCCTTAGTCCAACACACCACTTTGACCCTAACTTTGCCTAGACGGGCGGTAGAATGGCCCGATTCTGGTCATATCATGCCCTGTGCATACTTTTTCGCACAAACGTTTGGTACTTAAACATAAATTTATTCAAAATATCTATTCTAAATGTATGAATCTATAAACTTGCATAGAACCCAATGCCCAGAAAGCAGTGGCTCATGGGCTAATCTGGTGATGCTGACCTCCGAATTCTGTACGTCTCCAATAAATTGTCATGGGCCGAACCCTTAATTCGGTAGATAGTTATAGCTTTTCGCGTCAAATTGGCTGGAGTATACCACCCCTTTATCCCCGGTCTTTGCAGCTTCGAGATCCGCTGCAGCATAAGACTGTCCTTGTAGACACTCCATGGTGGGTTGGGAAAAGGGGTGCAGAATTATTTCCCTTTCGACATGGCTTCCCAACACCCTGGTTCAAAAAGAAGACACATAGAGACTGACGAAAATACTACGCCTTCTCGATCCGACTATTGGCCACGTTTCTTGGTTATAGAAGCTTTAGACAAAAAAACAATCAAACTCAATCCATTTGGTATCAAAGGTATCATTGGTACCTGTGGAGAGGTTACAAATGTTACAAAGCTTCGTTCTGGCTCTCCCCTTGTAGAATGTGCACGGAAACCTCAATCTGTCAATCTTCTCAAAGTAAATGAGTTTGTCAATATCAATGTTGTTGTCT